TAAGTGTGACCTTCATCGGACTTGGCTTCGTGCCAAACTTTGGCTGTTGAAGCAGGAACAATATCAAGAGGAGGGTCTGATTTTGATTCTTCCATTTCTTTTTCTGGTTCTTTTTGTTTCCTCACCGATTCCTCCAACTCTAGCTTTTTCTTTTCCGCAGCCTCAATAATCACTTTAGATGTATAATCTGGATTCTCTTGTAAATCTTTCAAATAGGCTTTCATGGCTTCCTACAAATAAACGATTGGTCGGGAAAGTGATAACAATAAGCTGGTTAATAACAAAGAAATTTTGTAATATGCACCTGTTGTTTAGGGAGGGAACAATACAATATGACACAAAATATTGTAATGACATGTTTTAAAATCTTTCACTAAAAGTCATAAAAAATTTTATTCACCTAACCTATTGCGATGTAAGGGTAGGGAACTTTTAAAATATGGATCAATGGGCGTGTTCTGGGAACATGTACCGGTGCAGATTAACCGTCGATTTACTTACCGGTACCGCCCAAGCCCCCAGGGCAAGAGTCTTCGTATCCCAGAACGGTTAGTCACCGGTTTACGGTACACATCTGATTATAATTTATACATCCACCTACTATTTACTTTATCATATTTAAATCAAACTTAATAACTAATTAACTTGCAGAATAAATTATTTGAAAATAATTCACGTATTACGTAATATAACCCCTTCATAGAATAAATTATTTACTCAGTAACATAACCTATAAAACTGATGAACATTATTAGATGGACCCGCCATCTTGCTGTAGTTGCATACTGTTGTCCAAGAAACTGACCAATCAGAGGCCGCAGTGTATTATGCACCGTACAATTTCTCTGGCGCATAAATTTTGCACCGGTGGAGGAAAAAAAGAAATAGCTGTCTGCTGGGTTAACTCACTGGTCTCCCAGAACGACGCATTCTATGCACCCAGAACGCGTTTAATGATTACATATTAACTGGCTCAAATTGTTAATCGACGGTACACTTGATCTTACCTCTTCCATTTTCTTCATCTCCTGATCCACCTGCAAGCTTTCTTGATGACTCTTGAAGCTCTTCTTGCTGATCTCGGAGAGTCTTTTGGCAACATTCTCTTTGTGTCTTTTACCTGACTCGTGGAATCCAACACTCTAAAAATCATACTTTTGATTAGCGCTAAGCATACAGTTATTAGGTGAATAAAACTACTAACTTATAATAAATCCAATTTGTTGATTGTAGTTCCACACCATAAAGAGTCTCATGGTCTACTTGTGAAATCTATAAGTTAATCAAACGATAGGGGGACGAAGTCCTAAAAAAATTCCTCTTTAATTCACTCTGCTAGATCATAAACTTAACATTAACACCACAATCGTATAATCTGTTTAGTAACTGTAGTAGTTAGAAAGTAGTATGTTACAGAGAAAGCCCTTGTATTAAAATAGATGGATGGATTAAAATGTCCCAATACCTTCATAGTTAAAAAGAATTTTACATCTAAACATACATATACGTATACATGTTTATGTGTAGGGGATGCCAAATGTATTTCCCTTCATAAGAAAAGATTGACACTTTGAATAAATAAGTAAAGGAAAGGACCAAGAAATCGGTTTTTAATCTGCCTACAGTTGAATTATTTTTCATTCATTCATGCATTTTTTATTTTAAAGAGTTTTAAGTTTTTTTGACCCCTGTGTATCCTTGAGGTTAAAATGATTTTGTAAGGATGACAAGCACCAAAAATGCACGTTTGTTCACATCTACCTGAAATCACTACCAGTATAACCTCTTTAATCCGAATTCCGAACGTCCACTAATCTGAATGCCTCATTATAGTACTCTATGCACAGTACAGTTAGTTCTTTATTGTATGCGGTATTTATTGATATACACACCATATTTGTTTCTATTGTAACAGTACTGTTTATTCACTATGTCTACAAACACTGTATTTAAATTTATTAAGCATTTATTCACTTTTCCCGTAACAATTACGATCCATTTTAGCCACGTTTAAGCTGTTGTTATGTAAAAACCACAATAAGTTCTGTAATTCAAACTATTCAATAGTCCGAACTACCCCTGGTCCCCAGTAGTTCGGATTAACGAGGTTCTACTGTAAATTAAATCAACTGAACTACTGGCATTTATTGGAGTAGATGATACACAAACACTTACGGGTTTATTGTCCGCAATCCAGCATTTGCAGAATTCGCAAAACTTCTTTGCTTGAGATTTCCAGTAATCCGCCCTGCAAGGAAACAGTAGATGGGGTTTATATTTAGTTTTACTAGACTCTATTTATCTATTGGTCACTGTGACATCTCATCAAATTAATCCATATATTGTCTAACATAAGACTTATGTTAGATAGTGTATGGATTAATTTGTTATTCTTATTTGTTATTAGTATAACAAGTTGGCATAGTGACTGGTTTGGTGGTTGAAATCCCCTTCCATAACCAACGACATTTATCAGAAATAATGCCTCGGCCTGGTATTCGGTATTCACTGCATACTGTACCTGAAGCAATAGCAGTTAGCATACTTAACTAGAAAAGAAAAAAGGGATGGATCTCTCAGTTGAGAAGACATTCCTCTGCAGAACTTCCTCCACTCAAGAGCCATAACAATGATTATCTACATATAAGGTCAACAACGGTGATGGTTGACACATTAATATGTATAGTTCAAGTACAGATGTTGAATAAATTGATGATAACTTTGTAGTTGACTCGTCATGTATACAGTAGCTCACCTAATTTCTCATTTGAAAACCCACCTAGTTTGATGCTCTAGAAATATTTGTCACAAGCCTTTCAAAAAGTATTGCAAAGTTATGATATTTGCGTTAATAATAGTGGCATAAAGTACGCCAAAAAAAGAAACTTTTTTGGACAAAGCTAGTATAGTGGAAGACTAGAATTGTGATAAGATAATAGAAAAACAACGTAAATGTTAACTTACACCAAGTCAAAAAAATTTGAACAGTTATTTTATTTTCACATTGTATGAACAATCAGTATCTAAGGTACTTGGCTTCTCAAAATCACTTCACTAAAAATAGAGACTAAGGTACCATATTTGGTACAATTATTCATTTAGAAAAATTACATTTTACAAAAACATTTCAAATAGGTGGCTGCAAAAGTCTGATATTGGAAAAGAAAAGGTAACTCTTTAAACCTTAACTTGAGTGAGCCATGTGGGAGATAACTTTAGTAATGTAAGACTAAATTAACCAGTCACAGCTCAACAAATTTGGTCAAATCAGGAAATTTGTCGGTGTTAAAACACTATCGTCAGCTTCAGGCACTCGTAGACATCGTCAGGGGGTATACACAATACGGCAGGAACAAAATAAAAAAAAAGTACAAGAGGAGACACTGAAACTTTTAAAAACAGGCCCGTTCAAACCATAGATGCCTACAACTTATCAATACTACAAGTAACTGAAGCTGATGATGGTGTTTTTACACCGAAACATGTCCTAATTTGACAAAGTTTGTTGAGCTGTGATGGGATTACGTAATTTAGTCTTACATTATGTCCAACAGCTCAGGGGCTACAAAATTGAATTTGATTTATAACTTTTGTAGCTATAGTCACGACCATTATCACCTCACTACCATCAAACAGAGATATAACCCAACCTATTGTATTTAACCTAAATAATTATTGAAAGATGAGTGTATACTGAATTTTTATTCTCGACTAACACAATTATTTCAGGTAAGGCTGTATATGAAAAGCTGATCAAAGACAAGTGGGTTCAGTTATCAAGGAACAACAGACTTTTCTCGGGAACCAGAAACCTTTTCTTGTAGCAATATACAAGATTCTAAAATAAAGTACAACACTTCTGTTTCAACGTGCAACTAGTTTTTGATGTTCATTGTTACGATACCATCTCAAATTGCCTGAATTAAACAAGTGGGATATTCAATTGAGTCTTATTGTTTGTATGTTGCCAAACAATATAATTTTTCTGAAGTTGTCTTGTATTAAGGCGTTGAGTAAAACTGAGTACACTGGATTCATTGAGAGATGTGCGATCTTCAGAGGTCCAGTAATAGAGCAAAATCAGCAATGACATCAAACTCTCTATCAGATTGGCTATTTTTAGAATCCACCATCATTAAAGTTTTAAATATTGCTTTAACCCTTGCATTTGAACTGGGAGCAGTAGCGGTTTTCAATTGGGAAGGAGGTATCTTGGGCCCCTTTTTCTTATTAGAGATAGATTTTACACAATTTAATTAGATTTTTTAATGGACTATTGATATAGATTTAAATGTCTGTGAATAAATTTAAGTTAATTAAAAATCACTTCATTTGATGTAACATTTTGAACACTGAAATTGCTATTTTTAAAACCTCTTTTTACTAAATTAAGTTGGAACAGTACATTATCTAGTAGGCAAACAATTAAAAAATGTAAAACCATTTTTCTAATAAATATCTATCGATTTGCAAAGTTGGCCACTCTCATAGATGATCTTGCGTACAGTCAGAAATACAAATTTTATGACAAGTAAAAAATAATTTAACTGAGAATTTTTTTAGCTAATTTAAATGACAGTTGGAGAAAAGTTAAAATAAAAGTATATAAAATGTCAGAGTAGAAGTTACGGTGTGTTATCAAGATTAGAAAATTTGAAATTCTTTAAATCTTTAAAGAAGACTATTTAGTAGACTATCACCCTAAACTGAAACTTAGAAGACTCTGGTAGAGGCTAAATGTGCTAAATTACCATGAAAACTATTTTAACATGTAAATCCCAGATTTATCTTTGAAAATAAAATACTTTCATGTCAAAAGATTGAAAAACCATGTTGCATGATGTTTGATTTCTAACACATCGCATGTCGAAGTCAGATATGAAAGTAGATATCTAGATGGTTCTTGACTCAAGCAGTAGGTAAGCTCAGATATATCAGTAAATGGAATTCACATATAGAACTGTCAAGTTGTGCAGAAGGGATACAGAAATAGCCAGATATAAACAGTGGTTCACAACAATTTATTCATCTTGGTACATGCATCACAATCACTTCGGTGGTAAGTTTTCAACGAGTGCTACCCGAACAAGATTCGGGAAAATCAAAATGAATTTTAAGAATATTTAAAAATTTGTAAAACCAGTTAAATAATATCCACTTGTAACGTAACATTCAGACTAGTTAAACTCTTAAAGCTGCATTTTTAAACAGTTGAATCCAGAAAAGCAATAAATAATTACGAGGTCATCAAAAGTCTGCGATTTCATTTTTCAAACGAGTAAGAGTAAATTTGTTTGATAGCTGAGTTTTTATGACTGCAAAGGAAAGATGGCACATAAAAATATACCTTTGGTACATTATAATATAACTAAATAACAGTGCCTTTTAATTTTTTTAACGTGCATCCCTCAGAAAACATTTAAGGTCATGTAAAAAATACTGTAGGGTAAACAACATTTAAGATTTAAAGATTTAAAATCGCTATCTCTTAGGATGATCTCGTACAAATGTTGCTTCATGGTGTCTACCATTTTGCAATATAAATAGTTGATCTATAATAATGGAGCATTTCTTGAATGTCAGATGTCATAGATTGATCACTAAGGGAATTATGACAGAAGGAACCGTGTGTGAAACTAGGCAATTGATTTTTGTTTTCAAAAATACTTAGTAAAAACAATACCACATCTCAACTACCTATTGCTTCTAGTTTTGTATGATGAAAAAAGTGAACAGTTTTTAATATTTCATTTCTGTGACGGAATGCTTTGTAAAAATGAAAACCAATGGCTTTTATTTGCATTACCTCCAAGTAAAATAATGACTGTTGTGTGATTTCTGTTACCTTCTAGCTAAACCAGTGACTTTATGGTAGACACCGTGCTCACAAATATTGATATGATACAAATCAAATTACAATTCGTTCTACCATTCATGGGTACGCTTGATAGGACTAGCACTTCTACTATAACACCTACTCCCTGTATACGTAGAGTATGACAACGGCGTATCACAACATCGTAATGGCACTTAACAACAAACTAGGACTACACACGAATCCTAGTGTTAATTTAATACTTCACTTTTACATTACATACTATTATGTTTTTGGTAAACAAGCCTCCAATATTTGAGGCTAAAAACTAAAACAGTACAAAATTCAATTTGTGTTCATTTATGTTATATATTTAATTATTAAGTCCAATAACTTTCCAAGATCTGAGTTAAAATCTTTTAAACAAAATTAAATCAGGATAAACCTGTATAAAACGTAGAGACTAAAAGATAGATAAAAAACAAAACAATTCACTAACACACCTCAGGTTATCTTCAAAGAACAACAAGAATCAAAATCTCTGTAAACAGAGGTACTTTTCACATTGATGTGGGCAACCATGCTAAATTTAAATCACTTACAACTACTTCTAAATAATACGTTCATAAGAGTTTGGGAAGAATAGAAAACATACATTAAACCATACCGATATTCCATTAACAATCATTATGTACCATGAAGTACTTGACTTGAATGATATGTGGTAGTATACAACAACAAACAACATATACATGCATAAGGAAGAGCACCATAGCAAGGAAACTCCAAAATACATTTATGTGTTAATATCTTTAAAACTGAACGTTCATATTTTAATTATTTTTTAATTCTTCACAACTCGTTAATTTTTTAAATTGTTAATTCTAATAAATCTCAATCTTAAAATCAATCTAATGTTTTTAAATAATCTTCAACTCAATATTGAGAATTAAGGTAATTTTTTAGGTCATATTGAAAAGGTAATAAGATAAGAGCTACCTTATCTACCGAAAAATCATACCCTGACCATTAACTCAACACAAAAAAAAGGAAAATTTAATCTTTTAGTTCTTCCAGTAAGACCATTGGTATTGAATTTGAAGAAAATAAGGTTATACGTGCAGAATGGCATCTGCATTAGGTTAATGTTGAATAATTAATCTAATAAAAAATGTTTTTCGTGTATTAGAATCTACTAATTTTAAATTGGTCAAAAACTATAACTAGGCATTTACTTACAAGAGGTAAACATTGTTTTATATGGCAATTCTAAGATTCACAATTTTTGTAATTATAGTTTTACAAAAAATGTGTAACTAGTGATTTTTTAACAGTAACCTATGTTTAACAACTATTTGAGTGATATATAACAATCTTTTTTTAATCAATAAAGATTAATTTTTGACTAGATGAAACGTTTTCTAAAACTATTTAAAACTTAAAATGGATGTATTCCTAACAAAATATAACCCGGTAAATTTTGTATTTTTCAAAGAAAATAAGATTCACAAGATAGTTTTCATCTTTGCTCGAGGCTTTGGTCCCGATGCTAAACTAAGCTAAGGACTAATCTACATTGTATATCAATATATATTTCATCTTCATACCCATCCGAGCATTAACAGATTCATTTTAATACTGATGCATTCAATAACATCATAAATTACACAAAACAATTAATTCTATATTGTCACAAATTATACAAAAACAACAACAAACCTCTAAACACTTGCCAAAGACACTAAGACTACAAGGAAATCTTAAAATTCACTCAGGAACTTACAACAGGCAAATAACAGCAGAGATCGTGGTTGCAGAACAACACCCAAATTTGGTTTTAAAATAACAGAAAAACTTGTTTTAATAAAATGGATAGGTATTTTGTTTTAATATCATCCAAATGTGGTCTCGACAATTAGGCCCACAATTATCGGGTTTGAAAATAATATCAATAACAGGTTTCTTAATATAATATCAGTATGAGATTTTAAAATAAAGGTTTTGAAATAATATTAGTATCAGGTTTCAAAATAATATCAATCTCTCTTTAAAAATTTGTACAGTAAGAATCGGAGGAGATTTAAGTTTTTATTTAACCTATATAAGTTTCAGGTTGGTCTTTAAACAAATATCTAAATTATGTATTTATTACTACCTAGGCCTACATAAATTTATTCAGATTATGAAAATCTATAATTATTATGAATTTTTAGTTAAATGCCCATAACGAATAAGAAAAATTAACAGTACACTCACTGTCAATACCAAATGGTTAAAATATCTTAAAAGAACCAGGACACACATTTAACTGGTGAAATATTAGTAGGCTTATATAATTATAAACAACCACGATCACTACAATAATACAAAATAGGTAGGTCTTTTAATAAGTAGGAAGGCAAATTGACACATAAACAAAGCAAAAATGTACAATTAATCAACAATAACAACATCTAAATGAATAAATAAAATCTTTTAACAAAGCTAACAAAAGCAAACTAAAAACTAAACACAATTGGAAAAACTGTTTCCAAAAATTGATATGTAATTGCAATTCTAGTTTAAACCAAAAAGTGTCACTATGTATACTGTTTACTCAGAATTTGCTTGAATGTTAGTATGGTCTCTTTAGAATTTGCAAGAGCCATTGAGTAAACATATTAAAAACCCAAAAGGCTTTTTAATAGGTAACAACTAAAACACTGAAAACACTCTTTAAAAAGTGGAAGGATAAGTTAATATTATTCTGCTGTTTAAGAAACGTTTTACACAGAGATACTATTAAATGTAAACAAATTACATGAAACATATATTTTTTTTTAATTAAGAGGAATTTTAAATGTAATTTAAGCTCCAATATATTGAAATAAATACTCTACAGCACTTTTTACTCACAAGGATATGAATGTAATTGACTACATTACGAAAATGCCTTACGGCATTGTCTTCTCTTTGTAGATCATAAACCATTCTTTGTGCTTAAAATTTTATATATTTTCACACTGTGACAATTATAGGCAAGAACATTTATAAAATATTGTCATATTATACGATATAAGAAGATGGCACTTGCACGACACTTGTAATTTCTCCGAAGAAATCTAACAGTGATGAAACAATATTGTTAACAGTACAAAGATACTAAAAAGTAGGCTTTACTTTCGTCCATCAGCTAAAAAGTTGTAACTGTTGTTACGGCTGTTCCAGCATCACAATGCCATCATCAGGTGTGTAGATCTCAGCTTCAGCAGGGTTGTCGAGTGTTAGGGTTTTTAACTTCGACGACCCTGCTTCGAAAGCCGAGAACCACACGTCTTATGATGGAATTGTAATGCCGAAACAGCCGTAACAACAGTTACAACTTTTGAGCTGATTGACAAAAGTAAAGTTGTGTAACACTTTTATGTAACTTTTAGTTATGTAACAGCTCAGGGGCTAAAAATATGGATTTAATTAACAAATAGATAATTCAGGAAATCTGACTATACTAATAGGAATCATAGGGTGGAAGGAATTTGGAATGGACTACAAATATATAGGAACAGGTTAGGAGACACATGAGGTGAAGTTTAAATCAGTAGATACCCCATCAGACCGTCAAATACGGATATTTCAAAGATATCTCAGAATCTTACCACTGTTGATAAACATTTTAAGTCTGTTAAGGGGAATGTGGGGCAAGCTTGCATAGCTTCTAAACACACTTTGGGTTGTACAAAGGTGATTCACTCATTCAACACTTTCGGCTGAATTTAATATTTTTTTACTATTTTGAAAGAAAGTGTATGGAAATAGTTACTTAAAATGAAATGTATTTTGGTATCCTATTCTATTGGGAATTGCTGGTTTGTGTAGCATTAAAACTAAAACTTTCTTACTAAAAACATCCCATTTCCGTAAAAATTACGGTTCAAAAGCTATTGTAACTTATGTTATTTTCCCATAAAAAAACCATAAAATAACAAAAATCGGATTTTTGGAGAAAAGCTGGTTTTGATCAAAATTAATATGTTATCGTCCTTATAATTCTAAAACAATAGTACAACACTCTAATGCTGAAACAATTACGGTTGAAAAGTTATTGCAACTTTTGCAATTTACTCTTACCGCTTACCCATGATAAAGGTTGTTGACGAGCTTACAGAAAGTATGTGTCACAATGCTGATACCGTTTATTTAGTTTCAAGAACAAGTCTATATAACTTTTCCCAAAAGTGTTGCTGAGTGAACCACAACCAATATAAAACAATTTTAATGTGACTACAGTTGGACTATAACAGTGAGAGTTTTAACCAACATAATGTATAAATAAACAGAACTACAACAGATCTATCTAAAAATATCAGGTAGATAATTTTGTCAGAGCAAAATTTATGGTAATTTTTGGTCTACAGTATTATGACTAGTTAACAGCTGACTAGGTTTAACTTGGATCTCCTGGTTTTCTGAATATATCTCTATCAAATTAAGTATAAATTAAAGTCGGTTCACAAAATTTAGGCAGTTTAAGGGGAAGGTTTCCTGGGTTCCACGCCACTTTTTTTTAGCTGAATGTATTATCAGCTGATCAGCTGTCAGCTGTTTTTTTCAAGGTGAATTGGAGGGGATGAAATCGCTTCCCTTCAAACCGCATAATTTTTTTGAACGGACTATAGTCTTTTACTTGATTACAGTTACCAAAAGATAGTAGCACTGCACTTGTTGATCGTGGTAAAAATTTTAAAATTGTTTAAAAAATAAAGAGGAACCTTAAAAATTTGTCAAAGTTTACCTGCGTATTTAAATATATATTTGCTTTTACAAATTCATTATAAAAATATGAAACAAAAGTAAATTAAGATCTGTATAATTTTTAGATATGTAAAAACAGTTTTAGCCAGGAAATTATTGCTTAGGCTATTATCTGACACTTAAAATTCATCATTATCAAAGATTAAACAGTTTATTATTTTCATTACTTAGATAGTCACAACCCCAATTTATTATTTCCTAAATTAGAAAATAGTTTTCATAAAATACCGCATTTAAAAAATCCAAGTTAAACATAAAATATGCACCGAATCAGTGAAACACTTAACATTTTGACTATCTCAAGACTAGATTTTTGGGCTACAATACTGATTGGTTTTGGCACTAAAGTAAGACCACTTTTTACTAGTTTGGACTAGATAAATAATAACATCCATGTTCTAGGACATTATTTGTCTCTTACGTTATTATGTCTTTTACGTTTACAAGTCATTGTCTCGGCTTGAGAAGGTGAAGTAGGATGGGATAGTGGATGTCTTGATCGTAGTTGTTGTTCTTTGCCTTCAGCTCCAAATGACGGTTCCATATTTCCTGGTTGTAATATTCAAACACGGTGCAGACGAACCCTCTCTCTTCTGCTTCTGTCTTGAACTTGTCCAAAGTGGAGCCTCTACGTGGGGCTGTGACCAATGCCTGACCGTCATCACATAGTGCAGACCACATTGTCACCACCAGGTCTGACCTGGCATCATCAAAGAATAGGCAATCAGCCGCTAGCAGCACATCGTACTCCTCGTGGTACTTGGGAAGACTTCCCCACTTCAGGACGTCGCAGGAAACTCTTGATGAATCTTTGAACCCGTTTTCGTCGATGATGTACCTTACATTGTCCACGGAGTGGGGGTTCCCGTCAGTGAGGTGCACTTTGGAAGCGCGAGTGTACTTAAGGATCAGCAGCCCCGCGAGACAAGTCATCCCGCCTCCAAGCTCCAACACCTTCTTGTGGTGGAAAGCTTCAGTGTTACATAAGGCGTAGTAGGCTAAGACTTCCTCAGACGGCCAAACGCAGACATTCCCGGTGTTATTGAAGCCCATAAGATCGACGGGCGTGATGGTTTTTATCAAGTGGCGTATTTTAAGTGTAAATGTGGTGTCGTTAATCATTGCCGAGTACTCGTACCAGTGCGCATCAGGGTCGTTTGATATGTTTTCTAGCTGGCGAAGGTTCAACAGGCCGAAGTTGGATATTCTCCTGACGGATATGATGTCTTCTGAGAGTTTATCGGGCTCTTCTTTGCTCCGATGTAGTGCGCGAGCCAGCAGTTTCCACCGTTTTCGTGCCATCTCATTGTGGTTTTGACATCCTCCGTTCATCGTTCATAGCCTTCAGGCTCGTCACTTTACACCCCGGGAATGCCTGCAACGAAGCAGAAATTCCATTAACGATCGCTTCAACCAATGTCACATGTTGGTGGGCGTGTTTGTGGTTTTGTGTCCCGTGTTCAACTATGGTGATGACTAATGTGATTTCTTGGATGGTTCAAACTGTCTATACACAATGGTGAGTATAGTCAAAACTAATGTACATTTACACAAACTACACTTTGACAAAAAAAAGTACAGTAAATTAATCTGTGGAAATTGTGTAGTCTTACAGGGAAAGAACATGCATTTTACTCGTCACAATTGGAATACAATTGACTCGGCGATAATCCTACACTTACCGGACCAAGAGTGTGTCGGATCAGTTGAAATAGTTGGATTAGCAAAAAATATATAGAGCTCAACCTATTATCTAAGAAAAGCCACATAATAAATACCTATTGTACACAGCAATCTCAGTAAATTATATAAAATCTAAGGACTGTGGAATTGGGCTAGACCAAGGCCCCACTAGAAAAGGCCATGCTGCAGCACGGGTAGCACAACACCACGTCACAGTGGTGGATAGTTGTACTAAACTCTTACCATTAAAATCTTACAAACAGCCAGCTTGTTTATTTACCTAAAACATATGGGAATGGCAATGGAAATTAATTTATCAATGAAATCTATCCACTAGTGTGACGTCATGGATCCTGCAGCATGGCCTGCTTTTTCTAGTGGGGCCTTGGCTAGACACCTGGAATGGAAATACAAGACATACAGTATTGTATAGACATTGGTCAATGACTGACTTTTACTGCGATGGATTACTATGTGTCAAATTATAAAACTTCAAATTATCGAGAGTCAACTGCACTATAAAATCTTAAATCTGATCCACTGGATGCATTACATAAGACAACTAAATAATCTATTGCTTATGCTTAACTACAAATCACATCTATAGTTCAAATTATTTCAAAGGATAAACCTGGCAGAGGAGGAAATGTAAGCTGATGTATTGGATGGAAGCTACTGAGCGTTTGAAAGAGACAGGGGGTGGGGGAAGACATTTACCTTTCTTTACATTATTGACAGATAAACAAGGGAACAGGGAAGATTGACAAGCAAATACAGACCCGACAGCCTATAGAATCAATAAAATAAAACAACGGAACATTGCAGATAGGCATTTAGATTTAGTTTATTTTATTTTTACTTTTAGAAAAAATAAGGCAAGAGTGTTAAGTACTTTTTTTAAGTACAATCCGCCTCTTCGCATTATGGAAACCATTACTGTCAGTCAAAAGGAAAGAAATCGATGGCCTGTTGATCAATGATACCAATCCAATAGAACTTGTTCGGTGTTTTATTTTATTTACAATCATACTGTTAGTAAAATAAAAATCATTAAAGCAGGGTCAATTAATGGTTATATTTATCAGGGTTGCAGTAGTACAAAAACATAATTTACCTACTAGACCTAACTAGTAATTTAATAAATAAGATAAGATCCACAAACATTATCTTTTGAGAATGAAATAACTTTTAAAAAGTTAAACTTTATATACAATTCTTAAAACTTAAAAGCAGGACTACTTTATTTGTAACCAATAGTGATGCTTTAAAAAAATACAGGTTTAGTAAGTAGTCTGACCTATCATTTTATCTTGGAGTTGTTTATAATACCTTATTAGAACTTGTACTTTTATTACAATTAGTATGCAATCAAAACATTTGAAAAGTTGAATTCTTAAAACTAAATGTTAGTTGAATTTCTTCTAAAAAAAAACAACAACAGAAAAGTCTTATCTTTTAAGAGTGAAAATGACAATAACCTCAATGCCTTTTAAAACAAATTTATAATAACGTTTTGTATGGATATGAAATTAAAGTGAAAGTAAAGTTGATACTATTTAATATTACAGTTACTGACCCAAATAGTAAATAGCTATTCAAATAGTTATTAAAATAAAATAATTCCACTAAGACTTACAAAAGTGTTGGCAACACTCGCTGAACCTGTCAAGTAGTGTAACTTGGTTTAAACGGAAAGGAAGCCTGACAGAAAATATGTAAATTCATTACTGAAACCAAACAATCGCCTTGGGGCCAGCGCCAGCCGGATTGGAAGCAATAAAAGATCAAAAGATAAACAATGTGTAAGCCACGATTGGCACGAGCAAACAAAAGTGTGACGTAACACAGTACTAATGGGGCCTATATAATCTGTTGTATAAATAGCATGGATCTCAGTCTTGAGCCTGCTTCTGCTTGTTCCTTTGTTAAAAAAACAAGGGTTCATTTGTAAAGTTTATTGTGATCTTATTTAGATGATAACTAAGACAGTGCTTAAAAAAGTTTAAACAACTTTTGTAGAAGAGATTATAATCAAAGTAATTTTTTTACAGTAAATTTTAACATTTATTTTTTTCAAACACAATTTTTAACAGTTTATTTAAGACTAAGTGTGATCATGTTTTTGACTGTGCTAGTTAATTTACTGTTAGCCGTTTGGTCAGGTTAGATGAAGCATAAGTTAGTTTCATACCATATAAGTAAGGGGAAATAGTAGAAAAATACAAGTAAAATAGTAATCTATTAAAATATTAAATATACAGGGTGTTTTTTTAAAAACTTGCATCTTTATTTATGTAAAAACCGCAATAGATAGAAATATGCAGTTTGCGGGAATCATCTATTGACGTAGGGGGACCAATTGTTTTGAATTCAATGTTACATTCACATTCCCCCCCTTCCCCCCCCTGCCCCCAACTTATTTTTTTTAAATAGCAAGGTACCCCTTGTGACATATCAAATAAAAGAGCATAAAAAAAGAAAATGTTTGATGAAAAAAAATTGAAAATCGGTTCATAAATTTGTGAGATATTCCCCCCCTCACCCCCCCGGAACTTATTTTTTTTTAATAGCAAAGTACCCCTTGTGACATATCAAATAAAAGAGCATGAAAAAAGAAAATTTTTGGTGAAAAAAAAATTAAAATCGGCTCATGAATTTATGAGATAATCACCCCCCTTTTCCCCTACCCATAACTTGTTTTTTTAATAGCAAGGTACCCGCCCTTGTGACATATCAAATGAAAAATAAATTTCACCAAAATTTTTCTTTTTTTATGCTCTTTCATTTGATATGTCACAAGGGGTACTTTGCTATTAAAAAAAAATTAAGTTCCGGGGGGGTAAGGGGGGGAATATCTCACAAATTTATGAACCGATTTTCAATTTTTTTTCATCAAACATTTTCTTTTTTCATGCTCTTTAATTTGATATGTCACAAGGGGTACCTTGCTATTTAAAAAAATTAAGTTGGGGGCAGGGGGGGAAAGGGGGGGAATGTGAATGTAACGTTGAATTCAAAACAATTGGTCCCCCTACGTCAATAGATGATTACTGCAAACTGCATATTTCTATCTATTGCGGTTTTTACATAAATAAAGATGCAAGTTTTAAAAAAAACACCCTGTATATTACAGTGTATATTGATAGTTAATTATATCACGATAGTTTATATTATGATTTACATATCTTATAGTCAGTCACATCCTAAACAATTTAAGTAGAATATTAGTTTGAAGGACTCAAAAGTGTTGTTTATACATTATGTTGAATCGATGGCAAGTTCTCATTTGTTAAATTTTCTCTTCAAGCACCGGTAAAAAAATTTATGAAAATAAATCATCCTAATGATTTTTTTAAATGAATCATTCAAATGTCTGTGCTTAAAGAAAGGGTTGTTCCAACGATATGAGCTCATGCGACACATTTGAACTGGTGGCATGATAACTTGAAAATGAGAATAATTCTATCTGAGAAGCTGAATGGAATGTTCTACCGAAGTTCTACCAAAACACAACCTAGAAATGTATAAAAAAAAACCCTCATATGCCGGTCTAAAGTTTTTAAAGATGATACTAAAGAATTGAAATATATAAATGATAACTGAAAGCACAAAAGATACGCAAAATAACACTTATAATAATATATTTACACTTATACTGTTTACTCACAAGACGGTAAATAGACTACACATATAAAAGATGGTTCTCTGCATGGAGAAACAACAAACCGGAAAGTTCAAATGTCGCACAACACTTGTTACAACGTGGCCACTCATTAGGGAAAATGGAAGACAATGTATGTATTTTAAAGAATTGTAAGAAAGGAAATTTGATTGAATGCTTGGGGAGAATTGTTATTTACGGTACAAGGAAAAATGTAAAAATAGAAATAAGCTTATTAATGAGCAAGTGAATTTTGACTCCTGTTGTACTTATAGAAACTTACTGGCCGGTACTTCCGGTAGCCAATAGGGACTAAGGGACGCCATTTCTGATTCTTGTCATTCGCCTATTGGGTCTGATTCTGATGATGATTGGAGTATCCAATCGAAATCAATCATTACTTACCATCTTTTATACGTATTTACCGTCTTGTGAGTAAACAGTATAAGTGTAAATATATTATTATTTAAGTGTTATTTGACGCATCTTTGTGCTTTCAGGTAAATGAATAACACGTATGATGCTGATCAAGAAGTTATAAGTGATAATAAAAAGTTTAGCAACTCAATGAATTTTTGATAGAAAAGACCCATCTACTCTATAGGCCTAGATGAACTGTTTATGAATGTATACAGCTATAGATAGTTTTATTTTCTGTATTTTTGTTTAGAAGTATTTGTATATAGTAACTATAAACTTGACTCTTTTTATTCTATGTCTTGTACATGCTTTAAATAAATGAATTTCAATGTGTCTAGCAGACATTATACAATCTTATAATTCATTATTAGCGAACAATATAATTGCTTTAGCTTTTAAAACAAGAAATAGTTATCTATATGAGTTATACAAAGTTTATATTTTTATTATTTATTATATATAGCTGGTTCACAATTTTTTTGTCTAACTTTCTATTCTATATTTGTTGACACAAATTAAAGTAACAAATTCAAAAGTAACCTGTGTTAAAAAGAATTTCTAACTAACTGATGCATAGCATACTCGCCTATATCTTCATGAAATTGAGCCTATATCATTATCAAGTTGTGTACAATACTGTAATATTAAGAGAAGCACTCACTGAGCGTTATGTACTTTTTGTTAGACATGGGTCTAACCTTAATATTTTATTTTTTGTCAACCTGTTTATAGTTAAAAACTGAATAAATCTAGCTAATGTAAACTAGCTTAATGTCATAGGTCTATAGAGGTTTGCTGCAACAAGTGTAAGGTAGGCCTATTTGTATTTTTTCAGGGACAAGATACATTTTATTGATGAGGTACTGTAACAGGACTTTGATTAAGATCCACAATGATTTTAAAGCCTCTAGAAATTTGTTTACCTGAACATTTTGGAAGCACTGTTGTGCATTTTTACAATTGAGTAACTTAAATTAAGATTCTGTATATTTTATATATTAAGTCTGTATATTAGGTAAAAGTTTTCAATCATCTACATTGTAATAAAGTTCAATTACCTTGTTTGTCTGTCCGAGATGAGATGAGAAGAAAAAGAGGGTCTCTCATTGTTCTCTTAAGTACTCTTTTCAACTAGCTGCCAATTGATAAAAATAGGTTTAAAGGATAATGGTTAAAGATCTTGGCAAGCATAGTAACCTCTGAAGATAGTATGACAACAAACATCTTTACACTTCTTTAAGTGCCTTTTAAAGGCTAGCTTTTTGTCAAATGGTTTTTGATGACTTTAATAGTTTAGCTTTGAACTTTTTGAATTGTTCTTAAGTTCACCTAGTTTCTTTACAATTTATTTATTGATTGATTAGGTACTATTGGGACTGAACAAATTATTTGAAGTTTAATTCCACCCATCAAATAAGTACTTAAGCTAATGCAGCAGGGACAAATTTATTTATTTATTTTAAGTTGGCCACTACAATATTGCAGTATATTGCATATCATTAATAACCTAATTTGTTTGAATAAAAAATTAGGTACGGCATTTCAAATTATCGAATCTATAATTGTTTTGATTCGCTGGATCTTTGGATAGATTAGTTGACGCCATTCAGTGTACAAAACTGTACTTAGGCCTAATGAAGCGTAGCCTATTTGATTTGATATTCCAGTGATATGTGTTGTTCGGATGTGCAGAGTGTATATGTCTATAGGCTACCCATAACACCAGACACGCCCTGAACTTCAACCTTCCAGCTCATCACTGCACAAGATTTCAGCAAAAACCAACTAACGCCGGCGCAAGACTCTTTAATGCTTCGCCTGAGGAAATGAAGAGCCTAAGTCCTGACCCCTTCAAGTTCACGAGGGAGTTACTGAAATGGCTGCTACTCCGCCCTTTTTATAGTAACTTATCAAAGAGTACAAAGACTGGAATAAATGATGACTTAACTTATTCTGTGAAGCAAGTTTAAGTCAAAAATGTTTCAAACTGTATTTCATATGACTGCAAGTTCAATCTTCAAAATAAAGGGCTGCACTTTATTTTACGTCCTACACTCATTTGAATGATATATCGATTGATATTGATTATTTCATTTGATACATCAAGTTTGGTTAGTTAGGGTAAAACCCAACCTAACTAACCGAATGAAATAATCAATATAACTGTTTGAATAATCTATATAGGCCTATCGATATTTTTCATACAAATGAGTATAGGACGTAAACCTAAGTGCAGCCAAATATAGAATCTCTCTCTCTCCGCTCGATGATCATGCCTACGCTGAGTGACTGTGTAACTTATCAATTATATTAGGCCTACCTTATTACCTCCTTCTATGCTTAAGAAAAGTTTTATACTGGATTAGCTGCGTCATTACAACAAAACATATAGGCTATTTACATACAAAACTTCCATGATGGAAAAGTTTACTTGTGTCCCACAGGTGGTTTGGACAATGGTCTTGGGACACAGAAATCGTCTTCAAAAAATTCACTTAGCTTGTAGTAAGGCTTTCCTTTCATGAGGCTCTTCAGGTTCAAGGCAAACTTATTGCCATCGAGAAGTTTGATCCTATCAGGCAGCTTATAGAGCTTCAGGGCCATGATTGGGAAGGCGTCCTTAGTCGGAATGTCAATCTTGGTTTTGCATATCTCGTATTGTGGCTGTGCACTTCATTCCTTGTATTGAATTTCTGTAGGTTGTCATGGACGTAGCTTACAGATGTAAAAATGTAATTACTGTAAACAGTCAATATGCCAGTCCTTACAAAAAGTGGCCTACAATGAATCCCGTCTACCACTACTGGTGATGATTCGCAGTGCCTTCTTTTGTTGACGTAGGACTTTGAGGTAGTCAGGAGCATGGCCCCAAAGCTGGAGACCGTAAGTTATAGTAAGTTACTTGTTTGGCAAGTAACTTAGGACTATGCAACAAAATTAAGCTTGATACTCTGAAATTTTGTTGCCATGGATTAACTTACAGCTGAAATATCAAAAGAGGTGAGATCAAAACGATAGGTCTATGAATGGTAATCAAACAAAAACCATAACATGTCCGGCTATAAACAGAAGACCAAGATTAAATGCAAGAAGACAAATGACATTTAGCCAAAAACTAAGTTAAGGATCTCCCCCAGGTTTGAAGCAATTTACCATTTACCATCGAAGTCTTCGCCGCAGTCCTTGGAGGACACCGGGGAATTGTGAAATATTTTTCATCTTTCTTCTTGCTTGCTTCTTGATTGTGTGTAGTGTTGTAGTGTGGGTGAATGTATGATTTGTATTATGAGTGTTATTTTGTAGGAAATTTATGTTCTTTCTAGATATTCTGTAATTGTGTAATAAGGTCGATTTATGAGGTATTGTTTCAGCTGTTTTTTAAAGATAGAGAGCAAGTTTATGTCTTTAAGTTTGTTGGGTAAGATGTTGTATAATTTTATTCCCAAGTAATTTGGTGTTTTGCTGGTTTTTGTTAGTCTATGTTGGTTTTGATTAAAGTATGATTTTACTCTGAGGTTGTGATCGTGACAGTTTATTCTGAGTTGAGGTGGGTTTGATTTGATAAAGAGGCTGGTTTCGTAAAGATAAAAGGATGTTAAGGTGAGGATCTGGTTTTTGACAAAGAGAGGTTTACAGTGTTTGTTCCCGATCAACTTGTTCCAGGATTCTGATGGTTTTTTTCTGTTGAATTAGTATTTTTTCAGGTCGGTTTCATTGGCAGAGCCCCATGCAATTATGCCATAACTAATGTGTGAGGAGAAGAGAGCGTGGTATGCCGTTTTGCAGATCTCTTTGTTTGTGATTTTCCTGATTCTCCTTAGGGCATATACAACTTGGGATAGTTTATTGTCCAGATTTTCAATATGGTCGTGTCATGTTAGTCGGTTGTCCGAGAAATTTAGCGTTTCGTTTATTATTTCCTTCCTGTATCTGGCTGTTAGAAGTGAAGTTTAAAACTGTTGTTTTTTGTTGATTTATTTTTAGGTCTATTGAGTTGCAGGTGGCTATTGAAGTTTGAAGTGTTTCTTCTATTTTTCCTTTTGGCTGTTGGAATTAGGCCTAGTTGGTGTAATTATGGTAGTGTCGTCCGCAAACATTATGCAGGAGCTATCACTGCAATAAACACCTATTCAAAACTAGGTAGTTAGGCCTAATTAAAACTAATTAAGTTAGGCCTAATTAAAACTAACTAAGTTAGGCCTAAGTACTCATTTTTCACTAACCTTTTCAGCTTGTCCTAGGCCAAGACTAAGGGAGAGATGCATTTAAAAAAACCCCTAGGGTAAGTGCAAACAGCCCTGCCCCTTTGTCATTGTATGCACAACAAACGAAATAAAATACTTAAAATGAATGAATTAATCTAGGTATTTCAATCAATGGTATTTCTAACTTACATGATGTACGAAGAGGCGAGATGTAAGTTATTCCACAGCAGAAACTACATCAGCTGGTTATAGCACCCATCAGACCTAGCACACTTTCATTCATATTGTTTTGTTTGTTCCCAATTTTACTTGAACCATCTCCTGAATGATTGCACTTCAACAACTAACTACAGTAAGTACAACTCAGTAACTCAGATCAGAACTACTACTAACTACTATAATAGCTGAGCTGCAGCTGACGCTGACACTGACGGACGGGGACGGGGGACGAGTGACGAAAACCGAAGAAGAGAGACAGCGAAGAGCCGTAGCGCCGCAGCCGACAGCTGGAGCTGATTCGGGATTCCGCGTATCCGATTTAGCGTAGCCGCGTAGCGCTAGTAGTGCTGTAGTACTTTTTTTATCCTAGTGAGTGTAGCAACCACGCACGGGAAGGGCGGAAACTCAATGATAGAAGGCAGAGGAGAATTCAATTCTTAATTTATTATGGTATGTTAAATGGACAAAATGATTTATGATAAATTATCAGCAATTGAAAGTACAGACCATTTGGAAGAAACTATTTAAAATTTAACATATTTGGGAAACGGACATGCCCACCCACGAGAAAGGGAGAGATCGCGCATAACCGCTGCTCACGGACTCTTCGAGCTCGACTGACCACTCCCTACCCCCAGGTTCGGCGGTCCTACACGTCACACGGAATGATGACACATCATGTCAGAAACACAATCACGCCATGCATTCCATGCCACTTGTAATACTTGTCGTCTTCGTCGTTGACCAATGAAAATTGGATAGACTGCGTCAGAAGTGTGTTGAGGCTTTTTATTGCTCAAATAGAGACCCATCTTGTAACTCTTGAAGAGAGTAGAGCGGCCTTTTCACTAAGCAATCCTTCAGTCTTTTCTTAAAAGCCTTCGGGTTCAGGTTCTTCACCTCATCCGGTAGAGCATTAAAAATCTTCAGGGCTGACTGAGGATACGCTCGCTGTGTCATACCAAGACGACATCGGGGAATGTCCAAATCACCAGCTCTGCGGGTACCGTGGTCATGGTGACTCCCTCTTTTTCTAAAGTCTTCGAGGTCCACGATCCAAACAACCGAACGTGATGCAGCAATCGATGTACTCAATTAACAAGATTAACAATCTTTTTAATGACAGAACTACGTTACACCAACATCGAACTCGTAAAGCTAAAAATCAGGAAGTCCAAGATACAGGCTGAGTAAAACCTTTGACTATTTAATACAACAACTAGACATTCCATCCCCATGTTTAAGTTGACAGGTTTTTAAAAAAAATTGTCTTAGTTTATGTGAGTCACTTACAGATTTTTCTGATCTAAATTACTGATTTTTGCCGATTACACGATGGTTTTTACCAATTCAAACGGATGGAATGACTTTTTATTAGCTATAGCAACTTTTGTGACCCAGCAACGTCAGTAAAATATAAGGTACAAAATAGAGTTTTAGACACTAGCGCAATATGTGACTGGCTCACACAACTACATTCTTTTTTAGTAAAAATTGGCGACAGCTGATCCATATAGATGAGATGTCTTGTCCTTTCCGCACAATTTTTATTTCAGCTGCGGTTTTTTGGTACGGACAAAATGAGAGCATTCTATTCGCTGTCATTGCGTGACGTCATTTTCTTCTCTTGAGGGTTGAGAGACGTCTTTCATTGTTGTTTGTTGACTCAGTTGAATTTTAAAAATCAATATTTTTATCTTTATCTTTATAAAATTAAACCGTCATAACCTACCCTAACTAACAAAACCTGCTGATAATGAAAAAAAATCGGATGAAGGTTTACTAATCGAAAAAGTAGTTCTGTTCATAAAACAAAATTACAAATAAATGCCTCAAATTCTAAAAGATTAAAAGTTAAGAAGTAATCGCATTCTAAGCAAAATATTTGACAAAAAGAACGTGTCACCAGTGGGAATCGATCTGGTATCAGTGGTAACTGGTAACCTCTTGAACATCAGCCGTGTGCACTCAAGATGCATGGAGTAAAAGAGGTGGGCCAGACAGAGCGCGCCCCTCTCCCCCCCTCGCCAATCGGACTGAGGCAGTGACGTCACTGCAGTCCTCTAGACTTTACTCACAGCCCGTACACAACACTTTTAGATGCTATATTGCGTTGTTTACGCCAGTTTGTACTACGCAATTGTTAAAATTGGTTTTGCTTGGGTTTCAATATATTAATATGTTATTCCTTATTACATTACTAATAAAATATTAGAGCAATTGTTGATTAAATTGATGTCCGTTTCTGCAATTGTTGTTATATCACAAAGGATCTACTCTGATCCGGTATATAGCATCTAATTTTATGATGTATATATTTTTAGGATAGCCTACTTAACTGGTTCATGAATATATTAGTAACTAAATTAGATAGGTATCCTTCGAATTTTTCAAATTATTAATTAAATCAAACAAACATTTTTCACTATACAGATATACCAAATAAAAGTAGCTTTTGGTAATGTACAATCATCATTAGATTAGTGTAATTAGGAATGGAGATTTATATTTTTATGAATGGAAAGAAAACACATTTTAAATAAAAACACTTTATTTACAAGGTGTATCTCTAACCATTGGACATGCAATCAGATATAAAAAAATTGCGTTATTAGAGTTCTTGAAATCTTTTACTTACTCTTTAATTTAGTACTGCGACGATGACGTTTCTTAGTTGATTATTTTTGATTTTTCGTTGCCGTTCATTTGTTTTTGCCTGTTTAAAAAACTTCAATATCATTAGTCTAAGACTCTACTATCCTTCTTTGAGCAAATAGCTCAAGACGGTCTAGAGGTAAACAATTAACTTTATGGCGTATGGCATAATGTCTTTTCTTTCGTCATTTATTCATATCAAAGCATTTTAAATATTTAATTTTCAATTTTAAAAATTCCTTTTCCAAACTCTCAATTTTTATTTAGCCTACATTACGGTGTTTTATTATAACAACTCAGATTGCACAATCTTTTTGTTTCCCCGGTAAAGTTTTCTGAATTTTCGTTTTGTCGAGCATTCCTCCGCATCACTGCGATAATACTGTTTTCAGACACAAGTTTGATTCAGGGCTCACGAATGTTTAACATTCCCCAAATCCTATAATCATTAAATTAATTCCTTTAAACATCTTCAAAATAAACAAATATAAAAATGTTTGAAATCCAAAAATCGTTTCTTTTGCACCTTTCAATAAAGACAAAGCGTATTTTTTGCGAATAAAATATAACTCTTAAGTCAGATTGAGTTTTAGTCTTAAAATAGGTAACTGTCATTATATATAGCTAGAGCAAACCGCATACCTAGTATTTTTTATCTCAGAAAGTAAAGTAAAGTTTTCAGAAAGTAAACTCGTATAAAATCACCGAACAAACGTGCACTTCATCTTAACACGAAAATAATAAAGTCTAAAACGAAATATATGTATATAGGCCTACAAAAGTAATTAATATTTTTTCTTTAAAAGTACCTGTGAACCAAACTTTCCTCGGGGAAAATCATTAGTATTCTCTGAGAGTATTCTTTGGTCAATACCATTTATCCAAACAGATTTTTGTTGTCTATTTAATTCCTGTAAAATAGCTAGGCGAGGCCTATGCAGTACAGTAGTTGACTTTGATTTGTACGCAACTTTTATGATTCTCATATAAAATATTATATAATTGGTTGTTGTTTTATTTGTATCAACAAACCCAAATAAGTTTAACATTAAATAGAAAAAGAAGAAATTAAAAATTAAAAAGGATGGCGTTTCATTTATAACTAATACCAAAAAGCAGTTGAAGTAACTTTTAAACAGACTAATTTTTTACATAGTTCTAAACATATATTTTATTAACTAACCTGGAAAAGGGGAGTGTTATATCTTATTCTAAAACTATTCTAAAGTGTATTTATTATACCAACTGAATCGGTAGACTCCCGCATTTCATCGCTTTCTATGCAACATACAGGCCTAATTGGTTATTTACTATTGTCAAACTGTTCACAATTCATGTTAGTTATAAATCATAAAAATCATTATTTAGTACACAATGATATTTGTGTCATAACGGGAAATACTTCCTCCAAACCAGCTTAAATTGTGTCTGAAAAAATAAGGTTTGTGCGTTTAGCATGTATCTAGCGGCGAGGTAGCCGCTGCCGGGACTGCAGTGACGTCATCGCGCGCAGTCCGCGCTGTCTGGCCCACCTCTTTTACTCGATACATCTTGGTGTGCACTAACCACTACACCAGGGGCCCATTTCATAATAAACTACAAGTTACAAGTTACAGCTTGTAACTTGTAATTTCCATAAGATTTGCATTGGGCGATCAGCTGATTTACTAATAATATTAGTTTGTATTTTATTATGAAATGGGCCCCAGCACTCGAACTGCGAACACCGATTGGCTAAACTTCGTATCGTTGTGGTAATGGTGTTCCCTTAAGAGAAGAGAGTGACGTCACGCCATGACAGCCAATAGAATGCTCTCATTTCGTCCAGATCTAAAAACTGCAGCTGAAATAAAAATTGTGCGTCCTTTCCAATTGCAGCCATAAAACAGCCAGTCAGCTGACGTGAAAAGCCTTACAACTTCAAATTTCAAGAACGACATAAAATATGATTTTTTTAGAATGGCCAGTATATTGACTATATACCTGTAAGTAGGTATATAGTCAATGCCAGTATACACCCTGAATGATGCAGAAGGAATCCCACTATTCGGGGAAAGAAATATCCAAAAGACATCTGACTCAGTAAATCCCACAAGCTGGGACAAAGACGAAGACATCAAGTGAGTATGTTTTATGGTTTTATCTATGGTAGTATCAAGTCCCCGCACTCTAACCACTAGACCAGCTCTCTCCCCTACTACGCATTCAACTCAATCCTCTCCTACGGAAAAAACACTGCAAGGTCAGTCATCATATGTGAGGAAACACAAGTTTTCTCAAAATTTTTTAAGTTTCCCACAAAATGTTAATTGATAGAATTCACGTGTGACTTGTGCGAGCCCTTTAAGGTATAACAAATACCGGTATTTCTAGTTATTAATTTAGTTTATATTATTTTAGACGTTTTAAAATTTTAAAATATACCACCAAATCCAAACCCCGCAATAAAAAATCATAGGAATGGAATGGGTATGTATTATTTATATTGTATGTTTTTTACCCATTTTATGGCGTCATACATCACTGCTTAAGGATTGGCATTGGATTTGAATGGCAGTTTGGAAGTTTTGATTTGAGGCTTGGCTGGCTGTGGCTTGAGCTGAGCTGAGCGTAGGTAGGCTAGAAAAAAAAACTGAACCCTACTAATCTAAGTAATCTATCTAACTTAGTTCACCAGTGTTTCCATTTGAGGGATAAAAATCCCTTTCTAGGGATATTTAGGGCCTTCGAGGGATTGAAAAGGGATTGAGGGATAACTAGGGATAATCAGCGAAATTGAAGGATTTTTTAGATTTTCTAGGGATTTTAGGCCTTTACCATTATAAAATTGAAATATTGATAAAATAATACATATGGCTGTATTTCAACAACTTTAATGACCTATTTTGGCTAATTTTGCAAGGCTAATTTTTCAAAGTCGGAACACACAATAGGAAGAGTAACAGCCAACACTGCACGAAACAAGCAAAGGACTGGAGTCGGTCGGTGGAATGGAATGGAGGATCTAGATTACTGTATTTATTAAATACACTATTGTACTATGTACTGTGTATTTAGATTACTGTATTATTGTGGTTGTGTTTGTTGTAGCCCTGTGCCCTGTGTCAATGTCGAATGTTTGTTTTCGTTTTGATTTTGTTTGCCGGTGATTTCTGTGATGTTTTTTTGGTTAGTAAGTAACTTGGTGTTTAACCTTTTCACCAAGGCATGGTGGCAATGTTTGAAAAATACTATTAAGTTTGAAATTTGGACACTTGAGGAATATTTTTGAAACAATTTTAAATACTTATATTAATTTATAAATGAACATTATTAGTTTCTAAAATTAATAACTATTTGTTTCATTTTTTAGTTAATTAATCTTGTTTTGTACCACATAGACAGTTTAATCACGGCTACCTATCATTCCAGGCCGGAGGCCGCAGCCTTCGAAATGGCAACGTTGCAAGTATAGTGTTAGTGTTGTAAAAGGTGTTTGTTTGGAGAACGCTAAGCTAATGATATTTATGTATTTTTTTAAGAATACGAAAGCTTGGTTACTGGGCTATGAAAATGTTGACTCCACATTGAATGTACAGAAATAGATGTTCAATTTATATTGTTTTGGTTTTCGATTATATATTATGTTTTAATTCCATGTTAACTTATGGGACGTCTGGTGCTAAACAATACTGCGGTACTTGCAACGTTGGAAAAATGTGGTTCGGATTCCACTATAAACTGTATGTCCCTTAGTTGCCATTAGCTGTATGGGCTATTAATTAACAGCTTTGTCTAAGGAACATGTCGGCCTTAGTCACTAACAAGACTACAAGATCGCGCCACTCATCCTACACTCATCCTTCACTCATATTTGGGTTAAAATACTCACATAGTGGCGTCCCCCATCTTAAATAATTGATATTGATATTGATATTGCCAATTCTACCAGGCCGCGGCCTGCCTGGAGTTAAAGATGGCCGTGGTTTTAATGGTGCAAAAATGTTTTTTGTATAGTATTACTTTATAAATAATATGGGATATTGAAGAATAATATCACCAGTTACCATATTTTAGGTGGCTATACATGATCCATTGGTATTGCTGCAAAAATAATAAGTTATCTCGATTTGATGAAGAGGGATAATTGGAGGGATTATTAGAACATGGACTAGGGATAACTAGGGATTTTTTGATGTTGGCCCAGGGATATTTTTTTCTTGCGGATGGAAACACTGTAGTTCACGTTTGTTAAATACTAGTCTAACTCAATTTTGTTGTTCGTGTCGGTTCTTACTGTTTGTGTTGTTTAATGAAATAGAAAAATTATTGAAATTCAATAATTTATTCTAGGTAAGAACCTTTGTTTATGTCTAGACTAGAGCCTTTGTCGTCTGTTGCTGTCTGCTAGACATTGCAGTATTGCAGTCAGTCGCTGTCACTAGCTTCTAGCTTCACCACAGTCTTTCGTTTCTGTTTCTCGTTTCAGGTTCCACAGTTTTTGACTTTTGTTGCAGGGTAACTTAACAAAACGCCTAGAACATCCCAACTTGGCCAATTAAAAATAAAATTGATTTACCTTACTTTTAGGTCAATGCCTTATTTTATTACCACAACATTGAACGGCTGCACTTTACTTTACGTCCTACTTACTTCGAATGAAAATAGGCTAGGTAAGGTTAACCTAACCTAACTAACCAAACGATATATCGAATGAAACAATTGAACAATCGATATTTTAATTCGAATGAGTGTAGGACGTAAAGTAAAGTGCAGCCGAAGGGCATCTAGGCATACCTATGTAAACTAACTTATATACTAGTAGGCCTACTTGTAAAGTAACTTAAGTCACCAATTTTATAATTTTTAGTTTGTGCCTAATTAATCGATTTACAGGATTGATCCCAGTTTCTTGATTCCCTGCGATAAAATCCATTCGGACAAAATGCCAATGTTTGATGGATACCTGCTGACAGAAAAGCAAGCCATTGTACTAGACTTGGGAGCAAGATACACCAAGTAAGTATAATTAATAACTTGCGTCATGAATTGTGGATAGGCATGTACTGGATGCGATACTCCCTGGTGTGGATTAACGTCTGGGCTGTACTTAAGTTTACGTCATACATTTACTCACATAAGTTACTGCAGTTTGGCTAAGGTTAGGTTTGGTTTAGAACAGTTTCATTTTATAATCAGCTGGTAGTTAATGTATAATGGTAAATGTAGGATGTAAACTAAAGTGCAATCAATGTCCACAATAGTGAGTACTACAACTATCTGCAGTACTGTACTGATAATTAGACCAATTTGTTAATGCCAAGGCAAAAATGTGGTTCAGATTCCACTATAATCTGTAGGTACCTTAAAACTTAGTTGCCATTAGCTGTATTGGCTATTAATTAACAGCTGTGTCTAAGAAATATGTCGGCCTTAATCACTAACAAGACTGCCACTCATCCTACACTCATCTCCATTCATACTTGGTTTAAAATACCTACTTTGTACGGTCGCCATTCAATGAAAAGTATTCAGTAATACGAGCAATGTCTGTTCCTCTGTCTGTCTGTGATATATAGGTACCTATCTCAAAATCCAGCGGAAAGATTCTGACTAGATTTTGGAATTAGAAACTTATAGCTCTAAAAATGTGATTGCTGACAGCTACTACCTCAGGAAAATTAGTATTTCACTACACAACTCATTTAAAACATTAACATTGTTCTTATGGGTTGCTAAGTACCGGTAACAATTTTGGTTGAACAAAATAACAAGGAAAATGTAAACAAGGCCTTGTAACATGTGTTCATAACAAGCCATCCACAGTATACTCTTTTGACTATTAATACAACAACATACTAGTTTTGACTATCAATACAACAGTGTATAGTAATACCAGAAACAAAAGAACCCTGGGCCGTTTCGAGGCGCGCAGGTTTGAATGGTACGCCACACCTACCGGCGCGAACCACGTGATCTTTTTGTTTCTGCGCAGGTTGTTTTGTTCTTGGTATGTCTATATCAATACACTTCAGTATCCAATAGTCAATGATACTAGTAAATTACAAAATACAGTAAGTTGGAAAGGCAAAAACATCAGTTGTAAGACCACGAATAGGCTTACTTGAAAAGAATAGAATAGAATAGATTTATTGGTCATTCAGTAATTACACTATAATTACAATAGACTTCGTCAAGTTTAACCCTCCAACTGGCACATAGAAAAGTCTGTAGTGGCAAGGCCATTTTAGTGATTTTGCAGACATATTTTTGAAAATTCATATAAATTGAACTAATAAAGTAAACCATATGAACCATATACTTGACTGGTCCGTAAAATAAGGAAGAACGGAATCTGAAAATGGTAAAATTTCAAGTAGTTGGAAATAAAATAATTTTTGAAACAAAGAAAACAACCAAAAGTTTTTTTCCAATTTGAAAATTTGAAAGCAAAACTGTGCTGCAAATGCAGAAATTTTTTTATATGAAATCCAAGATATACAAAATGTCAGCAATTTATTTGTGTACATAAAAAAGTAAAAACATTCAATTTATAATTTTTTTTGCTGAGTTATGGCCAAAAAACTAAAAAAAAACTGTGAAATTCCCATAAGCTTGTGAACAGGTGAAGAAGATAAATTGCACGTAAACAACAAGTGATGACGTTGGCGCAGGTTGTGCAACATACGGCAACAAAAGTCCACTATGCACAAAATTTCATGGGCTATCAGATGGTATATGTCATTATAACAAAAGTTATAAATTTTGTTGAAAAATATGTGAATTACTACCGCGACTATAATAGTCGCGCTGCCAGTTCAGACATGTAAAAAAGGGGGCTGAGGTATTATTTTTCTATTTGAGTTATTTATAAAGATATCGATATAATTTATATATCTCAATATAGAAAATGAACTTCCGGATGCAGTGGTAGGCTACCACACGCTGTTCCGTAGACTAAAAATACCCCTTGCTATTATTTATTGAAAATATCCATTTCCGGTAGTTTTGTGATGCTTACATAGAGAAACTGGCTTCGCGCGAAATTTTCTTCCACTTTATCGCTAAGTTATATTGATCCATCAGTGTTATAAAGGTTATTTATGCAATAAAATGAAAGTTTAGAACCTCATCTTTCGATTGGTATACACTTTATGTAAGTTAGCGATTGTTTTTAACCGTTTATATGCAATTTAAAATAACCTTGCAAAATGCAACTATTATAGTCGCTGCCACTACAGACACCGACTATCGCGACTATTATAGTCGCTGTGCCAGTTGAAGGGAAACAATAGATAGTCATAAATACACAAGAGTCAATAATAATCTCTACCTAATTTAAAAATCACAGCCTCTTATATCTAAATCAAAAAATTCATTGATGTGGTATAAAAGCCTACTTTGAAGCCAAACATATAATTTACTGTTAAATGCATTGTCAGAAATACTTTGAATTTCCAAGGGCAGTTTGTTGAACAATTTGATTCCCAATGAGTTATGATCCGGTATGGATCATAAACATACACAACTGACATTTTGGCCCGAAAATAAACATGATTTAGCATTGCTTAAATGGAACTGCCAAAACATGTTAATGCTATTAGTATTCAGGACAACAATAAGAATTTTTTGAATAGAATTTGTTTATGTTTATGATCCATTCCGGGTATTATTCTAGTATTCGTGGTTGTAACTATTGAGCAAAGATTACACTGAAGATTAGGTACTCAATATGGGATAAAATAGTTTTGGTCAAATACTGATATTTTTACTTAGCTGTCTCCCACCAAAACTTAATACCCCAAGTAGCCTACTGAGGCAATTTAAGCGTATTGTTAGCAAACTTTTATTTAGCAGTGAAATAAATAGGCCTAAATTAAAATATTTTATTTTATTTCAACTTAGGCTAATTCGAATTTAAACAAACATTTTCAATCAGCTTTTAGCGAATTTCCCTATAGGGAAGTACCATAGCTATTACCGTAGGTCTCATGGTAAGACTTTAGCTTGGGACCGATTTACTTTTCCATTTTGATGTCCCCAGAGGTTTGAAAATGATGCTAGGCATACCGGTACTTAATTATTTATGACATAAGTGATTTGTGGATCTTCAGCAAAGAACTTTTTCTCATAGCAATCATATTGTGGCTTAGACAATGCAATGAAGATGCAATGTGACATATAATTTAGGTTCTAACTGTCCAGTCTCATTGGAGTAATTTAATTCATCCTTACAGATTTGGTTTTGCTGGGGAGGCTTGCCCAAGATGTATTGTGCGGTCTGAAGTTAAAAGTTCGAAAACAGGAACTCTCAGACAAGTTATGAGCTTCACAGACAAAGAAGATCTTTATGCACTGCTTGTGGACTTTTTGCACATTCTTTTCTTCAAGTGAGTACCGTACTTATTAATTATGAAATTGAAATATGCCTACAAGGGTTAGTACTGGAGAACCTCAAGGCATTGTTTCTGTTAAGTTATAACATTTTGCTTGAATTTATAAACCAGTAGACTTAAGTTTGTCTAATATGAGGTACATACCTTTACGTCAACAGTTCAATTTTGTCGTAAGTGGAACTCACTACATGTTTCGCCTATTCAGGCATCGTCAGGTGATATCCTAGCAAGAATGCTTTGTCTTCATCCATGATGGGGTCGTCAAGAAACATTTTAATACATACACACACATTACGCACGAAAACATTTAACAATTAATTAGTAGGCCTACTATTACCGGTCGCGGTACGGAGGCAGACTCCGTTTTAAGTTTGTCTTTAAAAAATCCTTTTTTTTTATTAAAACCTATTTCTGTTTAACTTACATTTATTTAGGCCTACAATAAAATTGGAAGCAAAGATCATATGAAAGAAGATTCCTGAAGTGTCTGACTTACACAGAACTGTTTTAAATGTCATACATAATTTTATGTCTGTAAAAAATAGAGACTGTATTTCACCTAGAATGAATATAGGAGGGCTGTTTGGAAAGTAAGAAACTTAGTTTGAAGTCCATTGTTGGTGATGGTGAGTTAATGTTGTTCAAAGGTTTATTGCGGACATTTGGGGATCACGATGGTAAAAAACAATACACGACGTTTTGGGATCTGGAATCTAATCCAGTCCTCAGGTGAAAAAACTTAACTAACACATTACAACTAACAATACACAAACGCCCAACCTAAGCTGGAATAAACTACAGAGGGTAGCAGTAAAAAAATACCGTATGCACTGTATAGCAGTCAAGTCATGATACAACATGTAAATAATAACCAATCACAAAACACTATAGTCTATAATACCCCCGCCGCAGCAAACCTGCCGTTTAAGCGAATTTCCATTTGGCTGAATTGATTTTCAAACGATCTATTTAAATAACATTAGGTTTAACGAGTACCTAGGTTTGCTGCTACAAGGAATCTAATAAAGTGTGTGTTTTAAGTAAAATAATTATTGCTTAGTAGAAAATGAATATATTTGCCAAGTTTGATCAAAATATATCCATAAACAAGCAAACTACAACATTTTACAACATTCTCCATAAGAATAACATGGGAATTTTAAATTTACAATTTTTTTAGTTTTCTCCGTAACCAATAACCGTACAAAAACACTTTCATATACTGAATTATTTGTTTTTTAAGCTCTTTAAGAAGGTTTAGAGAAAAATTGGGAAATTTTGGGTTTTGAGGGTCAAAAGTGAGAAAAACCAATTTTTACCCCATAAAACCCCCCATAAAACCCTGTTCCCATGGTCCGATCATGCTGGATCGCGAACTCATTCACGTTTATCCCGCCTTACACCTTCAAACCAAATTTCATCAAAATCGGATAAAAATTACTCAAGTTATCGTGTTCACGGACACATATATATATAAATCTATATATATATATATCTATATATATATATATACATATATAAAAATTTGAACGAATGGTGTTTTTGGCCTCCGGGGACATGAAAATGAAAAAGTAAATCGGTCCCAGGCTTAAGTCTTACCATGAGACCTACGGTAATAGCTACTTCCCAATAGGGAAATTCGCTAAAAGGTGTAGTGTGAACAGCTCACACAATGGAACACTAATAACACCGTTTGCAATGACTTCACCAATGAGACTAAAGCAACATGGCCGACCAATCGGAAACACGGAACTTAAATGAGACAACAGAAATGGCGTCTGGTCCCTGGAAAAGTAAAACCAACAAAATGACCGAGCGATGTACAGTGCCGCAAAATGGGTGTTAATTCTGTTTATTCCTATCACGAGTTTTACTACGTGTTAACATAACGTGTGAATTTTGAGGATAACTCGTTATTTCCCTATTTATTGAACAATTAAGTTCCCTATCCTTTAGTTCCTTGTTCAAAATGGGTAGCCAAAGTGGCCTGATTTCAACCGAAGACTGACTGATTGGTTGGTCTGCTAATTTAATGTATGAGGCTTCAATGAGTTTATATTTGAAAAAATGAGGTTCCTTATGGAACATTTTTGCCTCTTCAAAATTCATACGATGATTTTCGGACCAGCAATGATGAGCGATCTTAGATTTTTCCACTAAACCTTTTTTAGTGTTTTCTCTGTGTTCTTTGATTCTAGTGTTCAATGGTCTTTTTGTCTCGCCATAGTAAGGCCTGGAACAATCATTTCAGTTTATTCTGTAAATACAGTTTTAAATATCCTGAGTGTCATTTTTGGGTTTTGTTTTGACGAGACTCTGCCTAAGTGTGTTTTGTGTTCTAAAACGCTGATTGCACATTAAATTTCCTAGCAACCCTTCTGATTTTTTCCGATAGCCCTAACACATACGGAATTGACATGTGGACGAGCTTTTCCTTGTGATTTTGTAAAGGTTCACGCGTAGCCCTATCTTTCTTGCATTCGTTTATAATGGATCGAGGGTATCCGTTGCTAGCCAAATCCTGTTCTACTTTCTTTATTTCATCCTTACTCATCCTGATTGGAGCATGCTCTTAGCCCTGTCAAACAGAGAGTAAGCAACCTCTTAAGTGGTTAGATTAAAAAGAAAAATCTGTGTCCTCCTCTTCATGTAAAAAGAAGCAAAACAGGTGTTGTGTGCAATACTTATAAAACTCATTAATGCCATAGGTCTAAATTCTCAAAACATACAAGATTTGAAATAAACAACGTATAAATAAATACATGTTGTACTAAATACCAACATTGCTGGTCGACGAGCAGGAACATACGCTACAGTGGGATTACGTCAGGGCTATCTGATATTGTCAATCATCGCTCTTAGTATAAGTGGAAGAGCTGGTCTAGAGGAAAAGAGTGCGGCCTCAGTCGCCTAGGCCCCCTTGTTCAAATTCGTCCAATCGTTAAAGGCTTTATCTATCTGATAATGCTGCAATCCTCTAGGATTAGCCTGAAATGAAATATAGTATGACAGGTCTAAGCCTAGTGTTCTAGGATTTGAAAGAAGGGTATTTTTTTTTTTTTTTTTTTTTTTTAGGGAGAGGTGGGAAAATGCATTTATGCACACAGGTTGCTAGCCTGTAGTGTGGGACTCCAACGGGCTTAAGGCCCAGAGACTACCCACTAAAAACCTCCTCTACTCTTCGGACACTAGCCTGGGAACACTTGTCGCACTTCATCAGAACTAGGCCGAGTTTGCCTACGCCCGAGGGGCTTACGCCGTGTCTAGCCGTTTATTTCTTATCAAATCTAGACTATGTTCCGATCTAGATCATTCTTTTTAGCTTGAAGGACATTCCGGACAAAGTGCGACCAGCAGTCCCAGTTGTCCTCACCCTTCAGCAAGGTCTCACAGATCGATTCAATCGACAGCACCCCAAGATGTTGAATGGCCTCCTGGCGAAGCATATCCCATTGTGGACAGTGGAAAAAAGTGTGTTCCGCGTCGTCGGGAATGCATGGGCAGTAAATGCAGTCAGGTGAATTCGTTTTGGCCATCAAGTGCAGGTACGACTGAAAATAGCCGTGACCTGACAAGAACTGCGTGAGGTAATAGTCAACCTCACCGTGCCGCCGTTCTACCCACGGTTGGACCTGCCTGATGAGTCTGGCAGTCCAACGTCCTCGAGTCTCCCTTTCCCAGCTTTCTTGCCACATCTGAAAAGTGCGGGAGCGCTCTTCTGTTCTTGCAGCGTCCTTTCCAATGTAGCCTTGTCTCTGGTAGATTGCCTTCCTCTCCGCTGCCAAGAGTTTGACTGGGATAACTCCAGCGATCACCAAAACGGCCGGTTCGGACACCGTACGGTACGCGGAAGCGACCCTGAGTGCCGCCTGACGCTGCACTCGTGCGAGCCTCAACCTATACGCCTCCTTGTTAAGCGCGTCTGCCCACACCTCAGAGCCGTAGAGAAGCACGGACTGGACTGCAGACATCAGTAGTCTTCTACGGCTGGACCGGGGACCACCGACATTGGCCATAAGCCTACTAAGAGCAGCAACACTCCTAGCAGCCTTGTCCGCCGTACGGAAGATCTGGTCCCTCCAGCTCAGCTTGTTGTCCACCATGACACCAAGGTACTTGGCGGTTCGCGTGGTTTGGACAACTACGTTCCCAACTCGTAGCGGAACGATGGTTTCAATCCGTTTTTTCGTGAGGATGACGATCTCTGTCTTGCTCAGAGCGAGTGTCAGACCATGATCAGTCATCCAGGCGTTTACAACGCGCATGACTTGGTTCAGTTTCAGTTGGGCTAGCTCAACGTTGCGTGCAGCAATGAGGGCTGCGACGTCATCGGCGTACCCAACTAAAACGGTCTCCTCTGGCATCTCAGATCTCAGAAGGCTGTCGTAGGCAGCGTTCCACAAATCTGGGCCGAGTATCGAACCTTGCGCGGCACCGGAAGTAACATCCATCGTCCGCGAACCATCTTTAGTTTCGTAATTAAGAGTTCTGCAGCGCAGGTAGTCCTCGATCAGCCTCAACAGATATGCTGGTACGCGGAAGCTATTCCTCAACGCGCTCAACATATCGACCCATCTCGCCGAGTTAAAAGCATTCTTGACATCTAGCGTAACAAGAAGCACGATACGGCGAGAGTAATGATTGAAGCTCTCGGCACGCTCTACCGCTCTGTGTACCTCGGATATCGCGTCGATTGTTGACCGACCCTTTCTGAAGCCGTACTGACGAGGAGACAAATCTCCGGCAGCTTCCACGGCAGACGTCAGGCGGCAGCGGATCAGTTTCTCGAAGAGTTTTCCGGCCACATCCAACATACAGAGGGGTCTATAAGACGACGGCATATTCGGGTCACCTTTCCCCTTGCTGATTAGCACAAGCCTAGCCCTTTTCCAAGGAGTTGGGAAAACCCCTTCGCACAGGCATGTGTTGTACATTCTCAGCAGTAAGAGGGGGTTAACTGAGAATACCTTCTTGAGAGCCTCACTGGGAATACCATCAGGACCAGGTGCCTTTCTATTTTTCAGGGAGAGGACAGATGATTCCAGCTCTTTAATGCTAAAGAGTGGAATGTCCCCTACCTCGCCATAGTCGAAAAAAGGCCGCCGAGGATGAGACGGGAAAAGGGCGGTGACGATCCTGTCCATGGTGGTGCCCTCCATGACGGAAGGTGGTGATCGGGCGCCGAGTTTCTGGGTTACAACCTTGTAGCCCAGTCCCCAAGGATCAGAGTCAACATCCTCCTGAAGCCTCCTCCAACAGCTAACCTTGCTCCTGATGATAGCCCGACGAAGAGCTTTCTTCGCAGCCCTATAAGCCGCTGACTTAGCCTCGAAATCCGGGAATCTTCTGGCCCTCATAGCGGCACGTCTGGCTTTCAGACAAGCTTTCCGAAGGTTCGAGATCTCTAAAGTCCACCAGTACACAGCTTGCTTATCGCGACGGCGTCCCCTGCGTGGCATGGCCTGGTCACAAGCCGAGACAATCAGTTCCATCGTGGACGTTACCAATGCCTCGGCGTCAACAGGTGCAGCAGAATTCACCAGCGCTCCCCGTGAGATTACGTCAGTGAACTTCTCAACATCCAGCTTGTCCGTATTCCATCGGCGTGGTCCAGATCGTGATACAGGCGCCTGATTATGATGTTCATCCAGTATATCAAAAACGATGTACTGATGATCACTTGCCGTGAGGTTTTCTATGACTCTCCAGTTGGAGATCCGTGCTAGTAGTGATTCCGACGAGAAGGAGATATCGGGGATCGTACCTCTCATGCCGGGGCGCCGGAAAGTAGGCGTGTCGCCCTCGTTTAAGACGACAAGTCCGGCCCTGGCGGCAAAGTCCAGGATGTATTTCCCCCGGGAGTTTGTAGAGGTCATACCCCACTCCACAGCCCTCGCATTAAAATCACCAGCAACAACGACATGCCCAACGGTACCCCGTACACTGTCTTCTAAGCGGTCAATCTTCAGACGGAATTCCCGAATTGGCTCGTTGGGGGTAAGGTAGACACTAAAAAACGTGACGTCCCTACACCTGACCCAAACGAAGCCTCGGCCGCGTCCGTGATCTCGCACTGGTGCTTCCGTGCTGTTTCGAACCCAACAAGCGGCAGTACCAAGAGAATCTGGGAACCAGAAGTGTGGGTCCCTGTCACGGTACTGCTCGCTGATCAGAAGGGTGTCCGCACCGATCTCTTGGGCCAGCTGATCTAAGAGGGAGTCAGCCGTTCTGGACCTCTCAAGGTTACCCTGGAGAATCCTCACTTCCCAGACCTAGCCTTCTCAAGGTCGAGTGCAGCCTTGAAAACACTGCATCGCCCAGCCCCTGGAATGTGACCTAATGAGGCGTCCTTTTGGCCTTTCTCTGCGCAGAGAAAACAACGCTCTGCTGCGGTACAGTTCTTCCTGTTGTGGCCCGAGCCGCCACACCTGAAACAATTCTTGGATAGGTCGGGTCCTTTACAGTTTCGGGAAGAGTGACCAAACCCGAGGCAGCGAAAGCATCGCGGTACAACCACCCTCCGTCTGAGCCTGCAATTGACCCATCCAATTCTCAGGTGTGTGAGATTAAGCAGCTTGCTGGCATCTTGGTTTCGCATTTCAGCGATAGCTATGCGTTGCTCGCTGCGGTTGGGCCGCGTAAGCCATACTTTAAGGGAGTCGGCATTTTGGATATCAGGGATGGCCTTGTTGATAGCCTCCCTGACTTCAGCCTCAGTCGAAAGACCGTCAAGGTCCCGGATCTCCACCGAGGTCCTAGGCTCGAGTTCCCGAACAGTACCGTGGTCCCCCAGAGCCTCTCTGACCTTTGCAGCAAAAGCCACTCGGTCACCAGATTTCCCCAGCTCGAGGAGAACTTTCCCATTCTGGGTACACCTGATTGACTTAACAATCGTATCCGTCTCCTCTGGCTTGGCCTTAGACTTGAGTCGACCCAAGACTTCAGCAAAAGAGCGCCCCCCTAAGGGATTGATCAGGATTGCCTCAGCCCTGGGCTTTCTCGGCCTGGGTTTCTTTGAAACAGGGGGGGCCTTTCCACGAACCTCCCTCGCCGGAGCAGGATCAGCAATCTTTCGATCTCTTGCTGCAGGTTCTTTGTTAGAGACAGCCTCCATTCGTCTCAATTTCCTCTTTTCTTTGCGGGAAAGCCTCTTCTCCCAGTTACCCACATTTGATGGTGCCACAGCAGAGTTCATAGAGCTGCTTCCGTCAACCGTTGGGAGAGAGGCAAGCTCCCTGGTCTGCTGAGGGCGCTTCTTTAGAGCTGGAGTGTGCTCAGTAGGGGGTGTCATCTGGGTGGCCCTGTCCTCGACCTTCTGCTCAACATCTGACAGAGGCTGATTGGCCAATTCAGGAAGATCGGGGCTCTCCGCTGGTGAGCTCCTTGCCCGTTTCCTTTGATTCCCGCCCTTGTCGTTCAGTTTAGGGGCTAAAACTTGGTTCACAAGCTCCCGTTCATTAACTAAAGCCTGTCTCATCAAGCCTTTAATTTCGAGAACTCGGGCAACCCGATCCTTCACCTTTGGGAGACCGTCCTTGATTGACCGGTTTACGTTGGTCCGGAGCTTCAAGGTTCCCTCCATATTATTGATGAGGTCCATCATCTCTACCAGGAGGTCAGACTCCTCCTCATCAGCATCGTCGTATTGTTGACGGTAACGCTGAAGTTCAGGATCCGACCTCTGGGGGCTGATTTTCGGCGCTGTACTTTCCAGGAGGGTTCCCGTCAACGCCGGTTCAACGTCTACTTTTCCTTCTCCACTTGTCAAAGGAGATCTTAGTGGGGGGAACTCATTTGAGCCCTTAAAGGTTGCAGGTGGTGGAGTTGCCTTAACGTTGTTCGCTGGTGGCGACCTCTTGACCTTGGAGCTACGCCCAAAAGGGCTCCACTCCTTTTCCGACTTCGATTTTTGCTCATTTGAGCTGCTGTTAAATAATGTGTTGGGTGGGGGAAAGAAGGGTATGCAAATAAGGACATTGTTAAAGGTAAACAATATTGAGGAGTTTATGTTTGCAGGCATGTACAGCTGAGTCCAAAGGAGCGACGTGTGGTTGTGGTCGAGTCAGTCTTGTGTCCGACTGTCGTAAGAGATACTCTGGCAAAAGTCTTGTTCCAACATTTTGAGGTAAACTTACCACGCTGTGTATTGAAGTTTTAATATTGGTTCATAACTAATAAGTGTTACATTTTAGATATTTTTCCATTGACTCTAATTTAAACTGGCTTCAAAATTGACAACAATGAAGTTTAATAAATAAGCTCAAGGAAAATGTAAAATATGGTCCAGAAGAGTTTGGTGAACTATTCCTGGTCTTGATAGCAGATCGTTCGGGATGTATCTATCCTGAAGCACAATATGATTGGAAAAAAATAAGTCAAATGTAGGACCGAACTCATTTCCCGGCTTCATGAGGCGTGGAATCATGTAGGCTACTCTGAAGATTGAGGATAGGACACTGTTGCCTATGGAAAACATCCTGAGATCAGGTGCTTTGACGATATGGTAGTTTTGACTACAAATTAGGGTACTATGGTAATGCACAATGTAATTTAACCTTTTTTATTGTTAAATCATAGTGATTCAAAAGCTTAAAGCCATACCACAATTCATATGTATGGGTTCCCTTTTTGTAAAGATGTGTTAAATTGACAAACATCAGTTATAGCTGTAAGCAACGTTTGGTTATGCAGGTGTGTTCGATGTTGCTGGTGCCCTCGCACTTGGTTGTGTTGGCTACACTGGCCATAGACACAGGTCTGGTGGTAGATGTAGGACACAGTGAGGCGCAGGTGGTACCCGTGTATGAAGGCGTCCCTGTTCTGCGAACGTGGCAGGCGCAACCTCTGGCAGGTGCCGCCATAGAGCAGTACGTATAGACCTCAATTCTTAGTACAGGTTGGGCCTGACGATAAGGCATCAGACAAAAAACGTATGGGAAATGATCTGACATTGAGAGTTGTTGAAGAAGTACTGTAGCCTACTAATGGAGTTCTTGGGAAGAGTTGTAGGGTTGCTGTTTTTTGTGATAAAAAACCGTAAATAAATTAGGCACTTCAATTACTTTTAATACTTTTATATACTTTAATACTTTTCATTGAAATGGTGACCATACAAAATAGGTATTTTAAGCCAAGTATGAATGGAGATGAGTGTAGGAGAGCGTGATCTTGTAGTCTTGTTAGTGACTAAAGCCGACATATTCCTTGGACACAGCTGTTAATTAATAGCCCATACAGCTAATGGCAACTAAAGGACCTACAATTTATAGTGGAATCCGAACCACATTTTTGCCTTGGTATTAACGAACGAAGTGGTCTAATTATCAGGATCCTACTGATAGTAGTAGTACTCTCTAGTGTGGACGTTAATCCGCACCAGGAATTATCACATCCACAGTGCATGCCTATAAATATCCACAATTATTACAGGGCTGTGCGAATCCAGAAATTTTGGTTCGAATCCGAATCCGAATCATAGCTGAACAGATTTTATCGAATCCGAATATTTTAATTAATCCCGAGTCGAATCTGGGTCGAATCCAAATCTCAAATTTACAGCCATTATCGAACCTGGATCGAATCGGAATCTGAAATTTAAAGCTGTTATCGAATCCGAATATTTAAACCTGTTCAGAGTCGAATCCAAATCCGAGTAAAGTCAGCAGTACCAATTTTCACATTTTTAGACCACATTTTCTGGGGCTGAAATAACTTAGGGAATTGCTTAAAAAAATTCTTGAAATGGGTCAAATAAAAAAGTTATGAAATTTAGGCCTACCTATTTGAAGTTTTGAAACTAAAAAATTGGGCATAAGTTAGGCATACCACCTAGGCCTAAGTTTCTCGCTAAAAGTGATGGACTACCAATTTGTGTAGTCTAAAACATAGGCCCAGCCTATTATACACCTCGGTGTTAATCCTCCACACAAGCCTATGTCTGCATTACTATTACAAGTAACAACTAACACTGTGAGGTTAAGTTTACTGATAGCCAAGATAGGGTTCAAATGCGACCTACACTAATGTGCCTAAAGCCTAACACCAAGTTGGTCAGGTTCCTAACATGAACCAGTCAACAGCAAATCGGAGTGCACAAGTAGTTTTTTAGTGTCTAAAAAATTATATTGAAAATTATATTCAATTAGAATCTAGTAAATTTGAATATCGAATCCCAACTCGGATCTATTTCCAAGAAATTCGAATATCGAATCCGAACCCGGATCTCTTACCAGTAAATTCAAATATCGATTCCGAATCCGAATCCAGTTAGAAACAGTAGATTCGTTCTCAAATCCGAATCGAATCTCTAAAAAGATTCGGATTCGATTCGTTTTTCGAACTATTCGCACAGCCCTGAATTATTATAAAATCCTTTGAAACTTATTGAAATTAGATTTTTAAATTTCCTGCTACCAATAGTATTTAGGCAAGAACTTTTGACACTATTAGCGTTAAAATGCCAATCCACTAAGGCTTACAATTTTTCTTGTTACTGTATTTGAATAACACAACTAGGCCTAATAAAAAAACAACACAGTGTCCAAAATCAAAGGAATAACTAACAATTCACTTCACTGGTCCTAAGCAAATTTAAATCCCAAACTCACTATTGACTAGATTGTGCTTTTAGATAATTTAGAATTGAATAAATTAAGTAGAAAAGTGTAGTTAGTATAGGTCAGAATTTGCTCATCTGCATGTGAATATAAGCATGGCTTTGAAGTTTGGAAAATTGATTGTAGTGGCAACCATTCTAACAATTTTAGTCTGTTCTTCAGGAGACTTAAGAAGACCTTGGTAGAATGGTATGAGAAGCAGGATAGTGGTGAATCCATCAGGAAGTCCCAGCAGGCCAACAATCTACCTGACTCAGTAATTGAAGATATAAAAGGTATCTTTGTCTGTAGATTTTAGGACTTTGGTAATTAGTTTAAACCTTCCAGATATAAAACTGTTATTTATATTTTAAAACATCTGTTATGTCTACATTGACCTTTGGACACTGAAGTAGGCATCCCCTGGACCAGCTGCCTGCTGCAAGATATATTTCATTAAAATAAGACATGGTTGTATGATCCTCTAACAGAGCGTTCTACTGTCCAAATCATGGTCATCAGCAATCAAAGCAGGTGAACTTTTCAATCACAAAATATCTGCAGACCTTCTGCGGTTGTGATAATACTACGATAGTGAGTTCGGCTCAAACTCGATTGTTTCACCCCTTCCAATACACTCTAACACTCGACCCAGCTCTACGAAACAACTTAAATAAATTAGAATAGGTGTAGTACTATGTGTCTGTAAAAGCGTTATCTTTTTTATTCACTATTAACTAAAAATGCTTACAGTAGGTTATCAAAAGTGAATTATTTTTCATCAATACTCCAAATTTTGGTGAAAATAAAATAACCTGACGATTGCAATTTTATTGTATATGAGGGTAGTGTTAGAAGACGTCTTTAAGCATAAAATATGAATCAAGGAGTTATTAGATATAGCACATACAACTTGTACCTACTGAATCTATTGCTTACTGATATACAAAATTAGATTTTCAATTGAATATAATTAGCTAATGTGTTGCAATTGTTACAAGTGCGAACGTCGTTTGTCACCAAACAAGAGAGAGGGGTGCTATACTGGGAGGAGAAACAGCCAGAACCTTCTGTCCCTGATGTCCTGTGAGTGTGCAAATAATGTCTCTGAACAATGGATTAGTAACTTTCATTCGATGTGTATATTTTGTATGTCTCAAGTGTGTCCAGTTTCCTCCCTTTCCTAAAACAATGTAAGATTTTGAAGCAATAATTAATGTCACTTATAGAATGAATTTTATTAATAATTAACAGCCATAGACAAGAATCCTTATTTATAAGTAAATATACATAGTTGTACATATCTTCTAAATTATGTTTTGACAAGTTGCAAATTTTGGAAATATGGAGTTTGCAATGAAACTAGTCATAATTAGGTTTGGAGAGAAAGGGCTAATTGCCACAGAATAGGTGTGAGAAAGGATAGGATAAGCAGGCTTACCTTTAAGAAATGTAGGCATCCCACTTCATTCACTACAGAACACAGAAGAAAACACAAACAAAATAAAATAAAATAAACGCTGGCTATTTCGAGGCCACTGGCCCCTTTCTCAACATGGAGAGTCACATTAGATATTTAGAGTTTTTCACTGGTAAGGAAGCAGTGTTGCCAACACACTATGAATTTACAAATGAATATTTACAGGTTAATGAGTCATTGATTTTATTTACACTTAGTCTAAGCCTGCTTTTTAGGTGTGGAAGGGGAAAGGAAAATGTTAGGCCTATCTGAGATTGAGGTTTGGGGGCTCCCTAGATTTTGTGAACCACTGATAAGAGAGTTCCCATCTCCCTAGTTGTGATGGGTTACAGGTGGGAGGGAAAGATCTTATTATTTTTTAATTGAAACAACTGTTTAAATCTTGCATATTGTGGCTGGCAGCATGAATAGGCACTGGTTTTTTTATGTTATTTTGTTTGTGTTTTCTTCTGTGTTCACTAGTCATAATTAGTCATTGAAAATTCCAACTACATACAGAACTCTTTTGTCATAAGGTTTATAAAGTCCAAGAGCTACAAAATTAACTGTCATCACTTTACTGTAGGTACCCAATAGACGGAGATCATAACATCACAGTACCAGGGCCAGTGAGAGAAGCTTGTCATGAGGTTTTGTTTGAACGAGACAACGATCAGCTGTCTCTACCCAACATGATCCTGGACGCCATCGTCAAGGTAGGATATTTTACTCTCACAATGGATGGATCAACATTATTCTTCTATGTTATCCGTTATCCATAAGAAGAGTAAAGAAATTACAGTAGATTGCTTATCTGCCGATTCTGTTTACAGAGACTGGTAATACAATGACCAACTGGTACAGGCTACTATGCAGAAGCGCTGTAACTTTGAACATGGCCGCTTCCCATACTAAATACTAAGGCTTAAATTATAGATGTTAGCCTCCGGATTGCCAAATAATATTTTAAAAGGTTCAAATACCTGCTATAAAGCAATCCATTAAATTTGTTGGATCTTTTGGATCGCTTGGTAGTAAATATTTGAACCTTTTTAAATAAAGCATAAATGATGGTGTTTTTGGCCTCTGGGGACTTAAAAACAAAAAAGTAAATCAGTCCCAGGTTGTAGGTATTTTATGATATCTGCTGTAACAGCTTATTCCTGCAGGGGAAATTCACTAAAACGTAAATAACAACACTCTTTTGCTCCTCTTTGCAGCAAAGTAATTGTTAAGTATAGCGATTTTGTTTTGAATTAAAATTTAAACAATTAAATTCCCTTGTCAGAAACATAATTGCAAAACACACATTTATTGTTTTAATGATAGTTTGTACTAAAACACCTACAAGGATTGGGTTTGTCAACCCATTTACCACTTAAACAAAGCATTTTCGTCTCACTTCTACAGAGTGTCAAGTTCATTTGGCAGAGCTCTTTCGGTTAGCGTACTGTTCCTCGGTATTTCTTCGGCATATTCACAAAAATTGATTTTGACCACTTTCCCCTAGTTTTGATTTTTCCTTACAAAATTTCAGTTGTGAAGACTGTAACAAAGAAAGAAATAGGGATGGTCAAGTCTCGAAATTTCGGGAAATTTTCGGGAAATTTTAAATCTCGTTACACGAGATGAGATTTCTTTTTGGCCGACATTTTTATCGAGACGAGAATAAAAAAAAAAAAAAAAAAATTTAAAACGCCTGCAGAAAGTCAATGCAATGTGCAATACAGGAGTGTGTTGTAGTTGCGTTTCCTTTACGAAGGCGTTCTTATTGAATTAATTCTTTAAATGTAAATATTACTTTAATTATTTTAATAATATTACTTTAATAACATTTGAGAAGTTTTGTTAAGTGTAAGCAGTGTGAGGAATGTTTTATTACTATAAAAAGTCAAAACAAGTACCTAACTATTTTATAAAAATTAATATTGCTTTTATTTTATGATTTATTTTATTTTAGGATAAGTTGAACTCTATCCTAACTGATATCACTTTGTTTAATAATCGTAGGCATTTTTAATAAGTTAGGCGTGATTAATAAAAAAATTATATGCTGATGTTTTTCAATAAAAGATTGTAAATATTCTTGCCTATTATCATTATTTTTCTATTTAAACAGTCATCTAACAATGTTACAAAATCAGGTAAAAATTTTGAACGTGCATTTCCCGTTGTGTATGAGAAGGAAAATCCCGTCTCGATCTCGTCTCGAAATTTTATGAGAAATAAAAAAACCGTCTCGTCTCGAACTAAAAATCCAATCTCGTCCATCCCTAGAAAGAAAGAACACATTTTTGAAATGAAAGAGAGTTTGATCATTTTACTGTGTATGTTACACGTGACCTAAACATAGTATTGACTCTGGGACTACTTGCAGAGTTCCATAGACATGAGGCGACCACTGGCAGAGAACGTAGTGTTAGTGGGAGGCTCTGTGATAGCTGCTGGGTTCAAGGCTAGACTTCAGGCAGAGCTGAAGCTGTTGCTACAATCCCCTGAGTACAAGGACAAACTGAAAATCACCACCTTCAAGTTCCACAATCCTCCGGGCGTGGAAAACTACATCGCATGGCTTGGAGGTTTGTTTACCGTTTTGGAAATTGAAATTATCAAAGTGCAGATATTGTGATCATTTTTAGTCCCTTCCTCTTGTGAACACTTGAGGAGATCTTTGTCTGAATTTAAAATAGCCCTAGTCTTCAGAACTTAATACAATTTTGTTCACATACTGTACTCACACAAATTGCAGTAGCCTATTATGCTTATTTCGCTTCAATTATGAATTACGGACTTATTTTATGGGGATCGTCTAGTGTCAGCAAAAAGTGTTTATTCTTCAAAAATTGGGTGATTAGACATATAGCCAAGGTTCAACAACAATAGGATAAAACCTTACCTAATAAATCAATCGATAAATAATTTCGATCCATACTGTAGCCTAACTAGCTCGTTGCAAATTTCCTGCAGTAAGATAATTCTGAACTTCTTGGTAGAGTAGGGGTGGGTCAAAATTTCTAACATGAGCTCTAGAGTTCTAAGTGTGATGGAGGGAATATTCCATAACTTTTGAGAGGGCGCCACCTTGTTATAAGTTGCTTGGTGTATCAGTGGTAACAAGGAACCAATGGTAAGCAAGTATGATGGATGTTTGTTAATCTAAGACCAGGTTCCACAATGAAAACAATATTTTATCCTTCAATCCTATAATGTTGTCCAAATTTCAATACCTACATCAATAACATTTCACACATTCTGAAGGATTACAAACACAAATAAGAAACCATGACTTAATCTAATAATAGTTCAGCTGAAAACACAAATAATATTCATATAAATATCAAGGTAGGCTAGTTCAGCGATTTCGCTTCGGAAAATTCTTACACACAATCTAGTTCAGCGTTAACGCTTCAAAATATTCTAACAGATAATCAACCTTATATCTTACACAAAATATATATACCTGGTAGGCTAGTTCAGCGATTTCGCTTCAAAAAATATTCTCACAGAAAATCAACCTTAAATATCTATACTTAATTAATTATCCCAAACAGAGCCTAAACTCAAGTAGGTAGCATAGTCAATATACTGAACTGTAAAATGATCTGAATAAGATTTGTTTTGTAGGAAGCGCTTTCAATATTTTCTTGTATTTTTTTTTTTTTTTTATTTATTTATTTCTTTTTTTTGTTTGTTTAAGAAGGGCCCTTATTTCTTTTCAAAATTGGAAAGATTACTTTACACAAATATACCTACTAGCTACAAGTTATCAAATACGATATACATACAGACAAATAATCATCAGGTTACGATTAACTATTTCTAAGTTAACCCTATCCTCAAATTGTGATTTTAACAGTATCCCACTAGGCTAGAGTAGCTTTGATCCAGGTCTTGCGGTAATGAATAGTGAAAGTTCCTTAAAAAGTCCAACCAACTTCTAAGATCCTTAAAGCTACACTCATCTGTCAGTTATACGGATGTGGAGGTCCCTCGTCGAACAATTCCGCAGTCCCGGTTAGGGTAGGTTAAGTCGAGTACGTAAACCTCTTCAGCAGGGTCAAGATCGGTACAGTCATCAGCAGAGTGAGGCTCTGGGTCCAGACTAGCATCCTCCAAACCAGAAACCCTGCATATTCAAAAGTGTAATAATACTTGTTCCAAAATATTGATAAACAAACACAACTTTTAAAAATCACAATATTACACAAATATTCCTCAGCCAGTATCAGTATCTCCAAACCAATCTTTTAAATTATGAAATCTCTAACATTCAGAGGATATTTTTAACTATTTGGTTGTTTACCGCAAACGACAATTAAATCACATGGTATTTTTAATACATTACTAGACAGCAAAAGAGTTCATAATAAAATTATAACTTGAACTTTGAATGAGAGTGGTAACTGGAAATTGCTTTACAAATAGTCTGTGAAATATTATAAAGGAATCTAGAGTAATTCAGATGTACCAAATATTACTAAGAACCTTGAAAAATTGTCTCAGCCTAAATTCTTACATAACAAAATTATTTTCAGTACTGGCAAAATTTGACTTCAAGTGATTACTGTTTTTACCAGAGCAACAATCTAACCTAAATTTTATTTCTCTCTTTGGCAAACAATAAATGACTTTTAAACCCTTTTGACATAAAATTACATACTTACAATTTCCACAGATTGAATATGAATGGGCTAGGCCTACATGAAACTTTACAAAATTACATCACATTTAAAAATTGAACACAAATAAATAAACTAAGGATTTACACTTGACATTGAAATCATTATGATTTGAAACTAGCCTAGCCTACATTAGTTTTTAAAGCATTTTCTAACCTCGTAAAATGTTTCAGCAAGGAAATTAATTCAATTTAGCACATGTTCGTATTGACAGGTTTTGACAAAGTTGTTCCCTAGTTACAGTAGTTTCCCAAGTTGGAATAATGGTTAAGACTTCATAGATATTTTACCAAAGCTTTTCAAGGTTGAAACAATAAATTTTTACAAACATTCTACTATGGTACAATACATTATAAAATCGAAATAACTGTTTTTAAAGATGAAAACCATTAAATCATTCCTGAACGAACACAACAGGTTTTACTTTCATGAACTAAGATTTCATTTTCAAAACTTGAGAGAGAAAATATTGTTTTTCTGAGTTTTAGGTTACGTTCTGAATTTTGACTAGGTTTAAGTTAAAAGTTTCCTTCAACAAAAATAAAAATCCATCATACTGCTTACCATGCTTCCATATAATCCGTAGACATACGTAGAAAGAATGGGTCTTGTAGTCGAGTCAGCGATGTCGCTCCTCAAGTAGTTCTGGCTGTTCTGAGGCAGAGTTATCGTGGAAAAATACTGGCGTAACGTTCGACAAACTTCGACAGGATAGTCAGACGGAATGCAAGGCTCAGCTGATAACAATAGGTTGGAGCGCGCATCCAACAATAGAGAGAGATATAGTTGTCCGGTGGCCAGCCGTACAACACTCACAGCCTTTAAAATATTCTATCTGTCTGTCTAAATGTTACAATACGATTGCCACAATCAAAATTTACTACTGTTTAGTGTTTACAACAGCTGATTTTTACTCCCCAGAGACTAAAAATGATTTTTGCTCCCTAGGGATTTAAAATGCTACTTTAGACCTGCAATGCATGCATTAAAAATGGCTGTTTTTGCTGCAGTATGACAAAAAATAAATTTAACGCATTGAAGGCCACAGGTTATGTGTGGAGAATTAGTAAACAGAATACCAAAATTAAAAAGAATATATGTGTGTGTTGTCCACCCATATAATGGCCAAGCAAGTTAGTTAAAATACAAAAAGAGTAATGTGTTCTTTACTTCATCTACTACCATTCTACCTTTTTTCCACCCTTTTTGACAATCAGAATCCTTTCAGTAGCCGAAGTAATGATTCAGAATAGGGTACAAAATAAGTTTTTCTAAATACAGTAAACCTTTGATAGTTCGACACGGGCTGAGCTATTTTGTCAAGTGATATATTTTAATGGTTACTATTGTGATGTAAGCTGACTTGAACATTAATTTGTCATTTATTGTTGACTTGAGACTTAACTAATGAACAGTGAAATTGTTAAGCTTTTTAGTATTTAATAAATTTGGGTTACGGGGAGCGAGCTGGCGTAGTGGTTAGAGGGCGGGACTTCAGTCCTTGAGGTCCCGGGTTCGATCCCCGCCTAGTCACCAATGGATTTTATCTAAGTGATAATGCCGTAACCCCTAGGTCTAGCCTGAAGTAATGCGAAAAACAATCCCAGGCTCGTGCCTAGCGTTCTAGGACAAAAAAAATAAATAAATTTGGGTGTTTTCTATAAGGATTGTGTTCTTACTTTCCTGTATATTAATATTAAACTCAATTTACTCCCTATAGTTGGACATCCCCTAAGTCCACAAAGTGTCGTACTATCAAGGTTCTACACTGTAGTAGCTTTCCAGTTTGTTCAAAATGCATATTTTCAGGTTTTAGTCATCGCAAAATTACTATCATTCCACGATGCTGCAACGGTTTGTTTATCTAACCCTAGTGTCTGATGTAGGAGCGTTGTACGGAGCTACAGATATGATCACCATGAGGTCCCTGACAAGGGAGGGTTACTCAAGTCTGAGCTCGTCTAGTGTGCCTGACTGGTGCAGTCTGCTACACAACCGTCTCAGCCACCAGAACGGACCGTCGTTGGTCATCTGAAAAAAACTGCGCCTCGACCTGAAGAAGGTGTTCGCCCCCCTACCTTCCACCTCACCATTGCCTCATAGATAGCACTGTAGCAACTAATGTGTTTTATAAACTATGTTATTCAGCATTGATGGTTGCGGCTTCCGATTGGACAATATGTCCTGCCTACGTCAATTCGTCTTGTTTCTGGGGGTTTGAGTTGTAAATCGTATCTTTGGTAAAAGTATACACTCTATTTTCATGCAGGTGTAGCTAGTTTTAAAATAAAAATGAATATAGTTGAATCAAGACATTCACAGTGCGCTGAAGTTAATTACTGATTCATACTGAAAGTTTATGAACAACAACAAGTAAACAAGTAACAACATAACAACAAGTAACAAGTAAACTTGTTAACCCAGTTAAATTTAAAGAAATAAATAATAAAAATGTGATATCAGCGCATTAAGTCATTCAACTGTGTTCTTCTTGAAAAAAATAAAGCTACAGGTTCATTTAGATGATGACTACTTCAGCATCCAAAAGGCAATGGTCCTGTGTAGAGTAGAGACTGAAGACGATAAGTCTATGTAAAAAAATCTCTTTGTCACCCATGCTGAAAAACATAGTTTTAACTAACTCTTGCTTTCCTAGTTGTAGGGAAATGTTGAAGTTTCAAAAAGTGCTCTGTATATGTAGGCGATGTTAGTATTTATTAACTTATTGCACAATGTTATGTTTATAAGATTGTTAGACATTTTGAATGCTTAGAGAATTATTTTTTTAGTATTTATTGATCACTGTTCAGTTTTATTTGTTGATTTACACTTGTTTATTTTCATTAACACAAGACCTTACATTCTGCATCATATTATCCTGCACTTTGTCCTTACATAACCCTTATCTAGTGGTCAATGTGTATGGAAAACTATGCTTTTATTGACTGAGGTCAAGTAAAAATAAATATACTTTTAATGGCTATCAGTGTCTGTATAATAATGCAAACTTGTGATGTGGCTTGGCCCACATGGAGAAATATTGCAATGTTTCGGTTTTTTGCTGCTGCATTTAAAGGTAGGCCTACCAGTACAATATTGTAAAACTGTTGTGTTCAGGATATTTAAATAATTCATATTTAAATGCATTATGAGACTAAAAAAGACACAGTTGTGGATCTGTTGTCGTCTGTAAAGTCGTGTTATGTAAAGTTTTTTTACACCAAGATTCAATATTCAAGTTTGCATAAATATTTTGCTGGTGTATCAGATAATACAAAATATTAATTTTTTCAATGTAATTTTTTTTTACTAAAATTTGTGATAACAATATCTTGGGTGATGACTATAGATAGATAAAATCAAGGATGATAGTATATTTCCTAATTAGCCTAACTAAACTAAATGCTTATATAAATTTTGTTTCCACAGTTTCTTAAGGATTAGCAAGAAATATCAGTTTTGATGGTTATTTGTATTTTTGTAAATAAATGCATTTAATGTAAAAATATATCTTGATTTTTATTTATGATTTCCTGTGTGATTTCAACAAACATCATACTGCAAATTATTTGTAAATACTAGCCAAATGTGCTAACACAATTTGATTTTTATGGTTACTTTTTGTAATAAATTTACTGGGATTCTTCCTATTGTAGGCTTCTTAAATTGATATAGACTTCATTTTGTGTTTTTCTCTTTGCCTTCCGGATTACTTCTCAAATAATATTACAAGAGGTTAAATTACCTTATTTATGTCAAAGTAATCCTTATGTCATATGTAGGCGATCGGTTTCAATGTCTGTCTTTGGCCTCATTGTCAAGCTAGACATAGAATCTATCACTCGGTGGAGGTCGTCAAAAGTAAAAAAAAACGTAGTCACACAAACGTATAAACACAAATAAAAAACGATGAAACGCATGGCCAGCCATGCAAACTATCATTATTAGTACAGGGTCTAGTCTAGACCTACACCTCCAAATAAGGTAACTTAACTTGTAATATTATCTGGTGTAGACTTTCAAACATTATAAAAAAATCGCAACGCAACGCAAATTAAAAAATCCAATGGTGTTAGTGTTAGTTATTATTTAGAAAACTATAAATTATACCAGTATTATGATGTGAGTAAATAAACAAACATAACACATATTATCACAGAATATATAATTGTACAATATTTGCATGTAATGTATTTAATATAGATTTTTTACATAAACAAAATAGCTGTATATTTTACATTTTTATATAAGGTTAAGTAAGGATATACATTAATAAAAACATACAGGAAATGTTACATAAAACAGCATAACTAAATTCGATCAAAAACTAACAATTTTTAGAATTTTATATGAAATAGGATTGTTATGTACAAGGATAGGGATCAGCTAGCTTACCTGGTAGACAGAGTCCAGATTATCCTAAGTACACACATAAAACACATAACACAACACAGAAAAACTTGACATTTTTATATTTTATTTGAAATTACCTTTTTTATAAAACCTTGTAGAAGTGTTAGACCAAAGCATTGGAAATCAGTATGCCTGCCATGGTGTGGTCATCAAAAGTAGTAGCAAACAAGTCAGGGCCCTTTACTAACTCAACTGGAGAATTCTTTAAACAATTTGTTCTTTTTACATTATAGGTTTGATATGCATTTCTAAATGCACGAGTGTAGGAGTCCCCATCCGCGAATTCCTGATACTGCGGAGATTTGTCATCGGTTGGGGGAGGGGGAGAGAGAGAGAGATTACACGTGACCGTGAGGATGGCTTCTGCTAGGGGTGGACAAACCAGCAGGATGCTGACTGTATTCAAGGAAATGTAGTTATGCACCTCTGACTGTGAAAGGAAATGTATTGAATTTTTAACCTAACCTAACCTAACCTTACCCACTGCGACAAGCGCATAACTGCATTCCTATGAACGCGGTCATCACCCTGATCGTCAACCCCAAGCGTAGACAACCCTGACTCTCTCCCCCCTCACACTCTCTTTCTCCCGCCCCCACCGTTGGCAAATCTCCGCACCAAGAGGTGGCCGACGGCATTCCCCATCTACCTGACACCCGTTGGCAAAACTCTGGTTCCCAAATGCACAAGTGAGCTTTTTTTGTTAGAGTGTGATGCTCTCGGCTGTGGGATATTCTAAATTGAACCAATCTTTGATAGGAAAAAGAAAGCCTTTCCTTGTCCAAATAATACACTTGCTCTACCTTATGAAATTAGAAGTCGGTTACTCTGAACAGTCTGAACATCACAAGCGTACTCTGACTTGGTTTGACTTTTTTTTTACTTGTGAAATGGCGATTTTGATTAATATTCACAGTAGCCTTATTCATAAAAATAGAAATTTACAAAACATTCGCACATGGGAAGGTAATAAAATCTTTAAAGAGATTAGTTTTGGTTATAGTAAATTAACTAAGGTTCCAACTTGTATGTTTGTACAGAGAGTATGATGTTTATCACCAATATCAAAACCACCCAGGTGTAAGTACTTATTATTTTTGTTTATATAACAACCTATATATCATAGTTATCTTAATGCTGACTTGTTAAACTTACAAAAATATAAAAACTAAGTGGAATGTGCATCTTGCAAACAAATAATATAATAATAATAATACTAAATTCACTCTTGATTTCATGTGTGGTTTCAAACAAGATAAAATAGAGCTATAACAGAACAAAGTTTGACACAGTATTTTTTTCATGGTAACTTTCAAAGCTCACTTGCATATATTTCTATCAGTCAATATTAAAGATGCTACTGGGCTAAAATACTGTAGGCTAATGTATCTATACAGATGATACAAAAAAATAACACCATAAGCAACAAAAACACAGCCACCTCAGGATCTCTTGGATACAACAACACTACTCTTCCCATCCTATGACAGGGAACAAGCCGAGTTGAGAGTTGACGTAAGCAGTATACTTGTCTTCAGGAACCGACACTTCTCCACTAGAGCGAGCCACGTAGTCTCGGTAGATGTCGAGGGATTTTTCACTGACCTGAGAAAAAATGTCACTACTTTAAATGTAGTTTACGCAATGACCGCGTAAAGACTATTTACGCTTAACAATTAAATTAGTCTTAACAGCTGATTAGTTGACGTTCGAAGCAGTAAAATTTTACTTATTTTCTCTCAGTCCTTGAACCTCATTGGTCGGTTACTAGTGCAATCAAGTAAAACAACAATGCTGTAAAGTGAATCTTTTCAAATCTAAGAACTGAACTAAAAAGGCTAGGTTGTAGGTAAAATTATTTTACAGAATTGTACGTGTATCCATCTCTTGCTTAAAATATGTTCAATAATAAAAAAATGAACTGACTAACCTGGAATTTTACACTAAGGCAGATCATATATTCTATGATATATGTACTAATAACTATAGACTATAATATAGAACTAATAACATTGCTTGATCACTGACTTATCCATGACCTTAAAATCCACTGAGACTCAGTTTTGGGATCAAGTACATATATTGATTGATGTTAGGGATCTGTTGATTCTTAATACTAATTCTCGATACCACCGATTCTTAGCCATTGGACATTGTACTATTTTGTTTAGAGTTAAAAGCGAAGGACCACAACATACTTAATTTTAATCAAAACCATTCCAGATATTTTTATAAAAAACTGATTTTTACGTTATTTTATGGAAAATCAAAATTTTAAAAATTATAAAAAAACGCCTGGAGAGAAAATGGATTAGTACCCACATACCAAATTTAATATAAATCTGGGTACTTTCCTGTTAAAGGGAACATTCATTATTATCGATGATTTTGTTATCGATATATTGATATTAACAATTTGAAACATATCAGCTGACAACTACGATAAATAAATATTGTTCAGAATCAACAAACAATAATTAAAAAAAATATTGAAACCAAACTGTTCTAAACTAACCTAACAAAACTAACCAAACTTGCGGTAAACCAATTTAAAACTTCCGTTTAATATTCTCCACTCGCCTATTCTGTTATCAAACGTAATTTTTAAATGGTACAGCAAGTTTGGTTGGTTATGTTAGGTTAGCTTAGAACAGTTTCATTTCTTAATCCATATGGACTATATTTTAGCATAAAGATCAGCTGTCAATTTGTAATGTATCGTAAAGGAAAACAAAAATATCAATATATCGAGAACAAAATCATCGATAATAATGAATGTTCCCTTTAACAGGAAAGTACCTAAATCTGTTATGTGGGTACACATCCATTCACACACAGACACTAAAATTATTAATACATAAGAATGGGAACAGATGTCTTCTCAGTTCCTTGGTAATGATCAGTTAAACCAACCAGTCAACTAGTTTCATGGTGGATAACGAGACCTCTACTTTTTGCTAGGCAGAGTAAATCAATCCGATCTTCGGTTGATAAGGGTCATAAGAGAGGTCACTGTAGTTTATGTTTGAAATTATTTGTTTTTTTACTATTGGAAATAATTTTCTTGTTTTAACGTTGTTTTTTTAAAATTCATTGATTATTTTCGATTTCAAACTAAAGTTCACCTGAGGAGGGGTCACTTGGAAGGTACTGTCGTCGCTCAGTTGCTGCGGACAGACTGGAGGAGACAGCTTGGACATGACACTGTTGACAGCCAGCTGCTCTACAGTCTTGTTGGCTAGTCGATGCATCAACACGTACCTGGAAATAACAAGTCGGGGCTACTATGGGAATATGATCAAATAAAATACCTTATACAGTAATCCATTAAACAACACACTTTTAACCTGTTTAGAGACAACGGTGTTGACAACGTATATTGTAATACTTGATGCAAAATAAAGATCTTGCAACCAAAATACCAATCAACCAAAACGGCCCTAAAACACCCAAATGTGTTGAAAAGAAGATGAAGAGAAATGATGGAGCGATGAAGGGTGTTGAAAGTTTACTGTTAATGTAAAATAAAAACACCTTTATTATATTGCTGCTGAAAAACATATTTAAAGATGAATAATTGATCTACATAGGCCTTAGTTTTAATTTACATAGTGTTGTTTAAGTAGAGAATAAATATGACAAGTTAAGAACATATTTTAGTGAAACTCTAACCAGGCTAATGGAATTTTTTAGTCTAGGCCTACAGCTAATGGCAGATTTATTTGGAATATTTTTTATGGATAGACTGAGGTAAAAACGGCCAAGTCTTACCTCTTATACAGCAGTGTATCCTGACGGGATGGGGGAGTGAGATCAAACCCGTAGGTCTGCCGACACGAGGGGAACAATGAGTCGAAGGTGATTAATCCGGTTGTACCGGACACTTCCTTGGCTGGAGACGAGTGGTGTGACTCCGAATAAGCTGTTGTTATCTCTTCCTCGTCACTCTCCTCGGAACTGATAACAGATAGAAAGTTTGTCTACATTAGTCAATCACATATTTTTTATGGAACAGTACATTAAAAACAACCTAACCTCTAACAACAAACAACCTTGACTTGGATTGAACCCTTGGTTGAATGATACATCGTTAACAATTTTTTTACACATGATTTTTTTAAGGTGTTCCCTTCCGGATTACTTTTAAACTTTTAGTACCAATGGACGTTGGCAACAAAAAGTTAATAATTAACCTCTAAAAATGTATTGTTGACTTGTTTTAACAGAAACAGAACTTTACGTTTGAATCCTAAAGTACACTTAAGACTGATTTGCATTTGATGAGAGGGGCAGACAAGTCCACACGATTTTTGACCATAGCTTATTGTGCATAACATTTTCCATATAGGCCTACTTAATACAATAAGGATTTTTTCTGTAAGATCCCTTTTCACCTGTCCTACTAAACCAATTTTTACAATTGGGGTGTTATTTTAATGCTTATGGTAGGGACGAATGGTAACTAAAAGGTAATTTCCTTAATGGCTTTGCCCTCCTACCAATTCATTTATTTCTATGAGTTCCCTTACAAAGATCCAGTAATGCTGACTAACTTGCTTTATAATGGTTTAAATTTGAGTTGTAATCTAATAGCAGATTTTTCAATTGAATGTTTATTCACAGTCAGATATTAAACAAGTGACGAAACAGTCAATGAAAATAGGTTTAAAATAGGTTACTTTTGGCAGGGTCGTCCTTAGGGTGGGCGATGCCCAGGGCAAAGGTGGTCACGCCCCCCCCCCTTAAAGTTTTTTTGCGCTCCGACCAATACTTACACAGCATACCTTAAGCTTAATTACATATATAAAAGGGTAATTTATATACCTATATATATTCAATTACAGGATTGTACAAAATTTCATACTTCATTCTATATTAGATTTACATTTAAGTATATTTGTATAGTGTTACAGATGATTGTTATCTACAGCCTCATTTTTCAGATTTGTATTTATTAACGCCAAAACCTGATAACCTTCACAACTCATGCAAACCTACAAGATCGCAAAAAAATAGGCTACGGTGCCCCCTTAGCCCGGGGCAGCATGCCCCAGTTGCCCATCCTTCGGATGGCTCAGACTTTTAGATAACATCACCTCATACTAGCTAAATTGAACAAAACAAAACACATTTTCTTATTCTCAAGACTAATACCTGGAACATTCATATTTACTGGAATAATCATTTGTACAACTGTTTACATAAAACATATAAAACATCTTTACATTGCAGTGTTTTACTTAGAATGGTGATTTGATAAAAAATACCCCCGTCGCAGCAAACCTGCATACTAAGCGAATTTCCATTTACCCGGCTTGATTTCTACTAAAATATTCCCTATAAATTTTCAGATTTATTTCCTATTTAAATAACATTATTTTAGTGAGTAGTTAGGTTTGCTGCTACGGGGAAGATGTTGAGGTGTGTTTTTTCAATTGAAATATTGATAGCTTAGTATGAAATAAACCAAATTGCCAAATTTGATTAAAATATATCCATAAACAAGCAAACTAGAACAGTTTATTTATTCTCCATAAGAATAACATGGGAATTTTAAATTTACAATTTTTTTAATTTTCTCCGTAGTCAATGAACATTCAAAAACACTTCAATATACTAAATTATTTGTTTTTTTAAGCTCTTCGAAATGGTCTAGAGAGAAATTTAGAAATTTAAAGTTTTTAGGGTCAAAAAAGAGAAATACCCATTTTTACCCCATAAAACCCCCCATAAACCCCTGATCCCATGGTCCGATTATGCTGGTTCGCGAACTCGTTCGAATAAATGTAGGTTTACACGTTTGTACCAAATTTCATCAAAATCGGATCAATTTTGCTCGAGTTATCGCGCTAACGGACACATATATAAATATATATATATATATATATATATGAATTTGAACGGATGGTGTTTTTGGCCTCTGGGGACCTCAAAACGAAAAAGTAAATCGGTCCCGGGTCTAGGTCTTACCATGAGACCTACGGTAATAGCTTATTCCCTATATGGGAAATTCGCTAAAAAAAAAAAAAACTTAGCTCTTGCATGCACAAACAAATATTGAAATATAAACTTTTGCTATGACTCATATTCTTTGATCGTTAGTTTGCATTCAAGAATAAATTTAATTTTTTAAGTTTTTTCCATCAACAACACAACATTGCTGCACTTTTTCATTCAGCTTGTATGCTTTCAGAATAAACAATTAGTGTTACCAACCTATCAGTAGACGCAGTGCTGCTTGTGGAGCTCTGACCAGTGAGGGAAGGGTTTTTGCCCGTATTGGCGCCCTTGGCAGTCTCTTCCCTGCGACGGCCCGGTCTCACCCTTACCGTGAATGGGGAGAAATCAGTCACACAATGGGGCATAAAGTCTCTGGAAAAAAACACAAACATTATTGTCAGGGTGTCCAGCAAGTTTTGAGAAAAAGTTCATAGACAGTTTTATGTTCGTAAGTTCATAATTTCCAGCAAGTTATGAAAGTAATATTCCAGGACAAATTCAGGTTTTCAAGGTTCAACATTCATAACTTTTAGGTACAAAATATTCACTTAAAAAATAACTCATTAGTCCCTAATAGTATACTGAAAGGTGTGAAGGTTTTTTGAGTAACTGTAAATGACACCTACCTCACAGAATGACTGATGTTGTTAGAGTAAGTCTCGTTAAGTTCACTGAACTCATGAGGTCGATGGAAGTCTGCGTAAGCGTCCACAAACTCAATGTCCTGCGGCGAGACTTGCATAAACGCCTTACAGGTTTTACGACACAACATCTCGGGGAAGGGTAAACACTCCATCACCTCTTCGTCCCACCATTGTGTCAAGGGCTTCCTACAAAGAGTAAACTTCAGTAGAGTTTGACATTGAGTAAGGAAATACTCAATTTGCTTGAATGAATTCTACACCATTTTTAGGCAAAAGAATGGACAATGCTTTTAGAGGAACTCAATCAAAATCCATAACAATTTAGTGACCGTGATGGGGATTGAAAACTTCATGCACCAAATTCCAAGAAACTACTCACTATAAAGTGTTTAACAGAAATGCCATCTGTTAATATTTTTTAATGCAAAGTTCACAAGCCCACAAACACACAACAACAACACAACACAAGAAGTGACACAAGTGATGTCTTTGATTTTAACATCAAACACTTATTTACTCTTTCCGAAATAATTCTACTTCTACTCAATCCATCATAAGTATTACAAGAAAACTGATTATATTTGCTTGGTATTTTATTATTCCCAAATTTTTCACATATTGATTGGCATTATTGGGTGTCCTGAGCTAAAATTCAAAGTAAGTTGAATCATTTGTAAAATTCTACGGGAACTTAAAACAGAGATGTTGGTGTAATCTTTAAACAGCGCTGGTTAAAACTGTGTAACTTTAACTAGACACGTAAATAGAGTATGGTAAAATAGAGATCAACGTACATCTTGTGCTGAGTTAGACTGATCATCAGGGAATTGTGTAGATAGTAGTCAGTCACCTGTTCCCAGATGGGAGAATTATGTTCATCTGGTACGAACAAGCCGAGAAACAGATTCATAGCGTGTTGTTTCTCAGTATCTGTCGACACATGGAGCATTAAGTTACCGGTTGAAAACCATAAGTGCAGTGAATGACAGGTTTTCTTTCCTTAAATTTTATTTTGCTAGTGTATAAATGCCATGACCATTTTTTCACAAGAAAAATGGATCTAGAGGCCTAAAACAGCTTGAGGTGGGCAACAAACTTTTTGTGACAGTGGACCCAGCTGTTCTTGATTGTCAAGCTTTAAATGAATGGTCCTAGCTAAAGACTCAGCTGATCAGTTACAAAGCTACACAATACCACACTCATCTCCCATTCATATTTGGGTTAAAATACTTTTCAGTGCTTTTTTCATCCAATAAACCTTTCTGTTAACAATAAACTATTGGGTCTCAGTATTTTCTTGCAGCTAAAGCCGTGGGTAATTGACGACATTTTTATAAAGGCAACAAAATACAAGCTCAACACCTTAACTACAAGAGCAGATGCGCCCGTAGAATTATTCTTTAGAGGATTTATTAAAGAGAAATAGGTTATACATTAAAAAACAAAAATATATAAGCCAAAATTATAAGTATATATTCTCAAACTTTATATTCTGAGAGCTTTTCCTCATATTTTCCAGTTCCTAAGCCCACATTGTCATGGCTAATCTAGCTGAACCCACCGGAGAAGGTGTTGCTGTAGTATCTGCTCAGTGTCTGCATGATGTCGTTGCCCTGGGACGTCCAAGGAGCAGTCTTGCGGTAAGTCTTGATCCTGTGGACCAATTGCGATCCTCCATACTGCAGAGCCAAAGTGTCTCCGTGGTCTTCATACAACACCTGTGAATAAAACATACACTCAGATAAGGCTCTAGTGGTTGAAGAACTGGTTTAAGTTAACATTTTTTGTTTACCTGTATTTTTTTCTTACCTGAACAAGACAAGTGAGAAATATTTAAGTTTAATACTTTAAGGTTTCAAGATTTAATATTTCTGGTAAACTGGTAGCAACCCCTATTAAATATTAGCTAAAAAGATAATTCTTGTTTTTAATAAGATAATAGGAGTAAAGGATGGTTAAGAGGTAGACATACTACATGAAAACCCCACAAACTAGTCTACACTGTCGCAGTCAAAATAGACTATCATATCAAAACCTTAGCCTTTGGGAGTTGATCACGTTGAACTGGTAAAAAAATTGTGTAGTCGTTTTTGATGCCTTTCAACAATCCATTTTCGAAGCACGCTACAATTTGACTGTAGAACTGGATCCTTTCCAACAACTGATTGCTGAAACGCACTCAAAACGTTGACCAGTACTTTCACCACTTCAACAATCGAGTCTTCTACCAAAGATCAATATCCAAAAACTAAGTCTTGTTATACTTAAACCATGTCAAACTGCAATATCAAAGAACAAAATTCAAATAAGGGAGAGTCAGAGGTGAAAGAAACTTAAGTGAGTGACAAATTTACCTCGAGCAAGCGCACACAGTCTGAATCAAAGTCCAAAGCTGGCCACTGTAAGAAACCCATAGAACAGAGCTGATAGCCGAGTGCACACTTGCCCAGGGCGAACTGAGCAGTGTTGGTACGGTCTAGACAGTCGACACAGTTGACCCTGATGATGCCCGTCTGTGCCCATCCCTCGTTGGTCTCTCTGCCCACCACAGTAGCCCCGGGGTAGGGTCGGTAACTGGCGTAGAACCCAGTCTTGGTGACAGCTGTGCGAGCTATGTCTGCTAGCCCTCCCATCACATTAGCTCCCTTCCTGAATCACCAGTCATTTATGTATCAATTTGTGTTATTATTATCATAAGGATTATTGTAGAATGAAGTAGAACTTTGTTGTCACACTTAATACTTAGCCAGTATTCCATCACTACTAGGATATCAGTTGACATTGTCAATATTCCTAAAACAAACAAAAAGCTGGTAATGGGACAATATAAAGGATTGATCATAATTTGAATAGTAATTGGTCAAGTAATACACTTCAGAGAAATAAAAGATAGACTTTGTAGTATTATTAAATTTAGAGTTGTCTTGAACTTCTTTGATTCTTCCAGATAGGTAGTTTCTTTATAATCTATATATTAATTTGAAACTGTTTTTCTTTGTCACAGCTATTTTGAGAGAACGGCTGGGCGTAGAAACTCGGTAGAGGTGTCTAAAGAAAGGTCTTGGTCTGTAGATGAGCCATCAAAAGAGAAACATGGTGAATTCCCTTGGGGCTCTGCCCCCGTGGCCTTTAAATTCCCATCCCATGTTATTCTTATGGAGGAAAACGGGGTTTTTGTCACAGCTAATTTGAGAGAACGGCTGGGCGTAGAAACTTGGTAGGGGTCTCTAAAGAAAGGTCTTGGTCTGTAGATAAGCCATCAAAAGAGGAAAGAGGTAAATTCCCTTGGGGCTCTGCCCCAAAAGCCTTTAAAGTTGCCTCTTCAGATTTGTTTACATTACGACCATCTATCTATATATTAATAAGCAAGCATGTTTCTTTAAAACCTTTTTTCTCAGCTCGTGTGCATCGTAGGGAAAATCTACGCATACCGGTAGAAAGCTATTTTCCTGTAGGTGTGCAGAATCCCTTTATAAATTTAAATAGGCTCAAAGATAAGCACAAAAAATGAGTTTAAAGATTTGGAAAAATTAACATGGGTCTTATGCGTTGCCATGCTGGTGACGAAATAACAACGAAATATAAACAGGAAATCAAAACAAATGGAAGAAACTCCAATCACATGTTTTATTTACAGTGTGGGGTGAAAATAGAGAAGTGAGTACATTACATATTTTTGGTCGAGTTTCGACCACTGGACGACCTCTCGTATGCATAATTCTACACTATTTTTTAATGCAACAGCTGTTAATATTTAAATTGTGATTTATTGAATTTGTCAAAATGAAGTACAGTATTTGCAATGAATTTTTCTGATTTTAAAATTGATTTTCTTCTGCATCGTGTCATGTTTTGCAATAAAATGTTCTATTACCAAATCAGTGGAAAATCCTAATATCACAGTAACTTTTAAAATTATTTCTTATGGAGTTAACTTATATCTATTGTATGGGTTGGTTTCTGCCTTTTTTACCACTACTTGGAGATTGTACGTAGGTGATATTCTTTGGCATATTGCATCTGTAGACGAAACTTGGGTTGGTGTAATTATTACAATGGAAAAGAATGAAAAATCTTGGACAATTTGATATAGGCTAAAAATAAACTGAATTAACAATGTGCTACATTTCTTGAGCAATCATTGAAATAACCGATTTGCAAACAATGGAAACATAGAAAAAGTCATAGAACACAACCAAGTAAAAGAAATAGAAATAATGTTTTTTTTTTACACTAAAAACACTAAAAAAACAAGATCATCTTTTTGAAAAAAGATAAAATATTTACAAAAGATTTTGATTATATCTAACTGTTGTGTAGATCGTGAGTATTCCCATAATCTTTGAGTCGCCTGTAATGCTTCGCAATTGCTCGAATTCGAGCAACAGGTACACTAGTAATAATGATTTGAATTTCATAATACTGGGCTTACTCAGTATGACGTAATGTTTGTTTTGAACCAAGGATTGACTCTCAAGTTTAACTACCAAGAGCCTTGATATTTTTGTTCTGTTTTACTTTTTACTTCACCTAAAGCTAACCTAATCCAGAAAACTCACCCTTTGTTAATACGCGCCATGTCAAAATGGACATACTGAATGCGCAAGTCGGGCGGTAAAAACTGATTGAGATATGTAATGGCTGACAGGTATTCCCCACTTAGCATACTCTCATGTTTCTTCTTCTCTCTCTCCTTCACGAGGTTCAAGATTATAATTGGAGACCCGTATCTTTGGAGGAGCTTATTGAAGTGGGCACCTAGAAAATGGGAAAATGTTGTTCACACAATATTTAATCAATAATAAAGATAAATACCCCGTCGCAGCAAACCTGCAGACTAAGCGAATTTCCATTTTCCATGGGCTGGATTTCTACTTAATTATTCCCTTAAAATTGTCAGATTTATTTTCTATTTAAATAACACAGATTTTTATGAGTACTTAGGTTTGCTGCTACAGGGAAGGTATTGAGGGTGTTTTTTTTTTATTAAAATGTTGATAGCTTAGAATGAAACAAACAAAATTGCCAAATCAGCTTAAAAAAAGAAATAATTTTGTATATTGAAGCGTTGTTGTATGCCTAACGGTTACGGAGATAATTTAAAAAAATTTCAAATTAAAAATTCCTATGTTATTTTTATGGATAATAAAAAAACTGTTGTAGTTTGCTTGTTTATGGATATATAGGCTTATATCCATTAGTTTATGGATATATTTTAAAATCAAAATTTTACCTAATTTCGTGAGGAATAGAGTACAGGCTTATTTGGTTTGGATACAGTCCTACTTCATCTAACACTAGACGAAATACCAGTGTTATGTTGGTTCTATCAATCACTGGAGACAGTTTTTCTCAAATAAACTAGCCAAACTCCATCCCTTTTTAATAAATCCAAACAGCCACTCGCTTTCCTTTAAATTATAGGCAAAAGAAGTTCCACTGAGACACACCAGCAGTCTGTGCGAAGGGGTCACAGAGGTCAAAGGTTATGGCAGGTTTGGGCACCATCTTGCTGATATCCTGACTCCAGTGAGCGGGGATAGAGCCGCGCATCTGCACAAACGAGCTCATCCTCGGGTTGTCTGTGGAGGAGATTCCGATATCTTCAACCAGCTGCTCCGTCTCCACCTCATTAGCTACATCTCCCTGCAAACAATCAATAATTGAGACTCGACCTTTAGTTATACCTTGTGTTGTATCCTAACCTTCCCGTGGACAATTGAGTAATGCTTATATTTCTGTGGTGGTATCGGATTACTTTGCTTTTCCAAGAAATTAAATTAAAATTCTGCTGTTTAAACATTTGGAAACGGTCAAAGAAATTCACCTCGTAAAATTTAAAAATGAGGGGACATATTTGAGGAAAGCTTTGTTATTCTCATACCACACTAGTATATAAATATAGGATAAAAGCAGTTTGTCTACAGTTACCCAAGTTAAAAATACACTTCTCGGTAACATATTGGTGTATTTTTAGTAATAAGAGTAGTTTTTCTGGCATACAGGGTAAAATCTGTTGATTTTCAGTTATCATGTATTGGTCACACAATGAAAATAAACTACGAAATGCACTGTACAATTTCATTGTGCTCTGATTAAACACAATACACTGAACTAGGTCTATCTACACTTATTATTATCGTTTCAATTTTGGCACAAGTAAAAACTTAATTAACTGTTTATAAATACTTTTGTGGCTCAGCTAAAAGAAAGACAGCTGAAAAAGCCTTCAAATTTTAGCCATAGACATTTCACAGACTCCAATGACCCTTTACAATACAATGCATCCCTTTACTTTCCTTTGCATCCCTTTGCTTAGGTCTAAGCATGGATCTGTGACCTTCAGTAACCTTTTGCCACAATCTTCTGTGACATGCCCAATAATTCTTTCCAAGGGGAAATTTTTGGATTTCAAACACCCTTGGTCACTAAGAAAATTACAAGATTTAATAGAATCTCACCTCAAAGTTTGCGCCTCTCTTGAGAAAGCGAGTGCCGGCGTATTTGTTGGATCTCCTGGCGATGAGAGCGATGTAGACTGACCTGCCGAAGATGCTGACACACGATTGGCTTATGAAGCCGTGCATGATGTACAATATCCAATCAGGATGAAGCTCCTCCTCCACCTTAGATAGCAAGTGAGAGTTCCACACATATCTGCGGTTAGGTTCACTTCTCACTCCATAGTGAACCGAGGGGTGATATTTGGGATCCGTGGATTTTGTCGTTCCTTCTCTGCTGTGGGAGCTGTAAATTATTATGTTGTTTCTTAATGCCAAATGGCTAAATCATTATAAAGTTCATATTTCGGCATTAGCCTTCTTCAGGTTATCATGTTATCATTATGTCAGCACAACAAAATTATTATCTTCAAGAAGAACTGTTAATATTGGAATTAATACTAATTTGAAATAATAACTTCGCCAATATTTCTGAATTTTTAATTTTTATGAGGCCTTTCGCCAGCTATGCTGGCATCATCAGACACATCAAAAAACTGAAGGTTATGTTTATGTTTACAATTGTAACAATTGTACATAAACATAACCTTCAGTTTTGTGATGTGTCTGATGATGCCAGCATAGCTGGCAAAAGGCCTCATAAAAATTAAAAATTCAGAAATATTGGCGAAGTTATTATTTCAAACTAGTAAAATTATTATGTTAGGGATTTTTGGCAAAAAATGGTAATTAAGATGAAACTGGACACAGCTAAAACAGCTGTTTATGGTCAGTATCAAAATCTTAAAAGGAATCTCACTTATCCTTCACTTAAATATTCAAGATGAAAATGTAGCCTACAATCCAAAAACTAGGTAACTTTCAAAAACTGATATGCTTATTTATAAATGTATAGTTTAAATCGCCATATTTAAATCGCATATTTACATGGTCAGTTAATGCCTATTGATGGCTCTCTCCGGTGGGTTGCCCATTCTTTAGAGTATGAATTAACCTGGACGCTGCACTTCAATGGCTGGAGACTTGGATTTAGTTTAGTAAGGGGAAGATATCTATATAATTAATACGCTACACGAAACTTTGTCGGTTGAATTCCTCTGCCATTTCTTAACCGATTTTATCCATTGACGTCTCATTGGAAAGAGCGTGTCGCGTAGATTTGCAAACTGGCCTTACATTTTTGAAAAAGTCCCTTGGGCTCTGCCCCAGTGGCTTAGAAAGTTCCCATGTTATCCTTATGGAGAACTTAGTTGTTTACATTTTGATCAGCTGTATAATTTAATTGCTGTTATTTATTTTTCAATTCAAAGTCTTTTAAACTCATAGGAAATTATGATGACTTTTATTTGTTTTTAAATAACTACTTTACTTCTTTGCAATTGCTCGATTTCGAGCAACGTGTTTACTAGTTTTTATATATTTTTTACATTTTGATTAAGAGAAAGTAACACCAAGTATAGTTAGTAGCAAATTTATCATCTCATCCATTTAACACTTATTTTTGCCTTAAATTACAAAGGGGTAGGACGTCGTGGTTTTACGAATTTAATCTCATGTACAGAAATTATTTCACAACTTGAATTATATTTAGCGGCTGGCTAAAGAATCTATACAGCATATATTATCATTGTTACCTACCTAGCTCTTTTTACATTTTCGTCTTCTCCTGGGCTAGAGGACGAAAACAAATCTTCTTTTTCTGCAGTCTCGACAGGCCCTTAAAACAGGCACTCAAATAAATAGCAAGTGCCAACCCAGTTTCGTATATTGGAAAAAACCGATCACCACAAAAAAAGGGAAAAAGGCGAAGGGAATTATGGAATAAGGAGAAAAGTATTGGTTTACACGGTTTGTATTTTGACAAAATTACTTATTCGCATAAAAATATTATGAATAGCACGTTTAAGCATTTGAGGAATAGACTACTACTAATGTTTTGATAAAATTACATTTTGAAATTAGAAAAAAAACCTTAAATTTACAATATTAAGTACATTATCAGTAACATACTAAGATTTGACAAATCTTAAGAATTCTAAATGAACAATGTAGGCTAATGGCAGTAGAAGCACGAGTGCGTAGAAGAAGTATAGAACAATAATACTTGAATAATACCACACTGGAAGCATATATTACCGTACTGGAAGCATAATGTTAAGGGTAAAGTAAAAAAATTATTTTGACAAAACAATTTTAGTTTCAAGCACAAACAAGTATGTTTAAAAAATTGCACTAGAAGGAATAAAGCTCCTATGTGAATTATGCGTATGTAAATATAGGCCTACACTTGTAGCTAGTAAAACGAAAACTAGTTACATGGTAATAGTAAACATAATATGAACTTACCTGGAGTTTTTGGATGTGACCCACAAGGTACTTGAAGATGACTAACATTTTTTGGGATTGCCATATTGACTTGTAATGTATGAGTGATGTCATAGCCATAGCTAAAACAAACAAATATAAATCAAATCAGCTGATAAAGTTAAGAAAATACTCTTTGATTGTAATTCTTCATCTAACTTATGCTCCTTCCACACTATACGGTTGAAAACAGTACAATTTTACGTAGTGTTATGTTTCTTTCACATTACACGGTTACTGACCTTACGGCAAGATAAATGTGTTTACAAAGTCATAAACATAAACAGTGTCCAATTGACCGGTCAGATTATAAACGGTAAACATTGCATCAGCTGATCTATTTGCACTGGCTGGTGGGCTTCCATTGGATGAAAAACCTTGCAATACATACGCCACTGACGTACGGCCACAGTGTAACAACCGTCTGGTTCAGTTGCAGTGGACGGCTACAAGACGGCACAGTTTTCTGTCATTACCGAAGAGTGTGAAAGCTCCTGAGCAGTTTAAAACCGTACGGCAAAAAACGTATCGTGTGAAAGCATCATTACCTTTTGAAAAGAGTCAAGGTAATCCACATAACAATGACAAACATACAACGTACAATTTGTTCCCTAAGACTTAGCCAAGTGTAGTAGACTAAGTACAAAAATAAATATGAAAGAGAGAGAGTTTGATTTCTTTCTTTGTTTAATCTGTACTTGAGAAAGTTCACCAAGAGGTGAAATATTGTGTGTTTTATGTGTCTCCTGTGTATATTTAATCTGGACATTTAAGGTAAATTAGCTGATTACACTTAGTTCTAAAAATCACATTTATCCGATTAACTCAAAATAGAAAATAGCCAAAGATGCACACATATCATATTTTAAATATACTGTTGGGAACATTGACAAGCAATTAATAACAGAAACAAAACATTGTGCCGATTTTCAAATCAAAAGATTTAAAATCCGCGACAGGCAATGGACAAGTCAGTCCAACATGACGTAACGCGGAAGGATACGAACTGGAAGACCGTTGGGAGCCGTGCCGTGTGCAAACGTCTCGTCGTCACTCGTGGCTCAGTAATCGCGTAGTCAACATGTGAAGTCGCGTTTTGTCGCTGGTGTAGGACGAATTTATTAATATCTTAATTCGTAGCTCGGAAATTAGCGTTCGGGCGGAAATTGTACGTGCATCAAACGATCGCAATTGTCAAAATTTCGCCGAATTGCATTTGGGGGTGTGTTTTATTAGTATTAAGTCGAGACAGTTGAGATGCCGGATTGATTGTTCGCGTTCGTGATGAAAATTCGTACATGCATCATATCGATAGCAAATGTCAGTTTCTAGCGAATAGCGGGTCGTCGTGAAGGTATTTTCAATTGAATCATTAAACGCCAGCTCGAAAAAACAAGAATTAATAAGTCCTACACCAGAAAAAACCGTGTCGTGATATTCCGCTCGGTCAGACAAAAAGTCAAAATTACCACGAGTCAGTTTTTAAATGTTCGGTACGCGTGAATCTTCGTCGGAATGAATGTTTATGTGTCGACATGTGTACGTAAGTAAATGTTTGTGTCATTTGTGTTTTAGTATTAAAATAGTCTTGCCAATCTGCCACATTTTTTCACATGTACCACTCGTTTTACAAGTTATGAATCATGTTTTGTTTGGTCTGAGATTTTCATGTTTCATTTGGTCTACTTAGAGCACATGGTCACGATTCAGGATAAAATGTTTTATTAAATTTGGTTATGTCATACAAAGAATTTAAGTTATAATAGTGAACCTAGTCAAATGAAAATTATTTATTAAATTGAATTGAAATGGTATATTAATTTAAAGAGCAAAGTTTATCTGTGATATTATTATTTTTGTATTCTATGTAAAGTCAGATTCTATCATCATCAGTATTATTATTTAAAACGTTTGTATTTCATGTGTAGAATAATTTTTGAACAGTATTACATTTTTTAATAGTGAGAGTTTGATTGTGTAACGTAAATGGGGGTAACAGAGTGCTCGGTCGAAGGCTAGGGTTGATAAAGGGTCGTGATTAAATAAAGTAAATTTCATTTTCAAACCCCACCAGGGGGCAACTTTTTGTTATACTCACACCTGTATGAAATACTTAAATTGTATTACATAAAGGTGTGAGGTGATTTTGCTTGATGGAATGATCAATTAAGTAAAGAGTATATTTTGAATATAAGTGAAGAATTTATTTTTTTTTCTTTACAACATTAAATTGATTTCTTTTGAAAAGCAGTGGTTCAATTCATTTAGCTGTAGGGAAAAAATAGTTCCCGAATGTAAACATTGTGATTTTTTTCTTCCATGGCCAATCACCATTCAGATCAAGTTCAAATGCTTCACCTAGAAAATCAAATCAAACATCTTCATTTCAAACAAGTGGTACATTTTATAAAAATTTTTGTAAAAAAAGGTTGATTTTATAAAAAACACAATACAAAAATTACTTTTGGAACTAGGGACGTTCATGCGTCTGAGGTGATCTTAAGGACATGAATATTCTTATGAAAATCATTCCATGTGGTTGGTCTATATTGGCTGTGGTCTTATGTGTTCCGCCTGGTTGGGTTTGTCATCCACCTTTGGATAACATTTCAGCCCAAACAGTTTGAGTGATTTCAGTTCAGATGGTAGTATAAGACAGATGGGGGTAGACACACATACAGACATGCTGATACACACATACACGTGTAAATACAGAACTAACCTGAAATAAAAGTTGCTGGAGAGATCAATACTCTGAAACATCTTGAGGTACCTAGCCTCGTCTGGATGCGCCACTCGAACGCTCTCGTGGGGAATGTATACCATGTAAGTGTCCTGGATCTTGTAAATTGTGTGCAGACCCACCACAGCCACTCTACGCCGCTTGGTCACAAGCACCATGTAGTAGCCTTCCATGAACCTTACGAATCCTACAAAAACAGCGATGCACACCTTAGGCCCCTGTTAATTTTTTCTATTTTTAAATTCATTTTTTGTGCTTATTTTTGAGCATTTAAATTATAAAGGGATTCTGCACATCTACAAGCATATATGTTTCTAACAGTATGCATAGATTTTCCCTGTGATGCACACAGAAAAAAAAAATGTTTTCAAGAAACATATTTACCTATTAATATATAGAATTTTCACACAAAATATTTGGATTGTTATTCGTTGATGTTGTAAATTTATCATATTTTTTACTGTCGTTAGTTATTAAACTATTATTCATAATATAAATAAAATATGAATAAAGGGTTAATATTCATTGGCCAGACTTGGTTAACAGATGTTAAAATCAAAATATAAATCACGGCTTTCTTCTGAAAGCAATAAGTCCTGCAGTCTAGGGTTAACCTTAAGACCTATTTCAATTTACGTCCATTTGTTTAGTTGTAAACAAAAAGAATTAAGTTTGATCTAATGTCAACAGATAGCGCCACCATTTTGAAAATGTAGCCCTTAGGAACTGTACTTAAGTGATGCCCTTTCTTAATATTCTGAGACGTATTTGCACATCTACTTGAAAATACCTTTAATTTGACACCTCAAACGTTAAAATCCACCAAGCAGTTATCGAGTCATGACTGTGAAAATAAAACTGCTTGCGTAATAATAATATAGAATTAGATTAACGGTTTGCTGCTACGGTGAAGGTAAAAAGTGTTTGTTGACCATACGTCAACAACCAACAAAAAAAACGTATAGGATGAAATAAATAAATTTGCCAAAGTTTATCAACATATATCCATAAACAAGTAAACTACAACAGTTTTCATTTTCTCCATAAGAATATCATGGGAATTTTAAATTAATCTTTTTTTTTCCGTAACCGTTAAGCATACAACAGTGCTTCAATATACTAAATTATTTTTTTAGCTCTACAAAATGGTCTAGAAAGAAATTGCAAATTATTTTGTTTTAGGGTCAAAAATGGAAAAACACCATTTTTACCCCATAAACCCCCATTCCCATGGTCGGATGGATAATGCTGGTTCGCGAACTCGTTAAAATAAATATAGGTTTATACAGAATTTCATCAAAATCGGATCATTTTTGCTTGAGCTATTGTACTAACTGACACATATATATACAGTAAACCTCCGATAGTTCGACACTCCTTGTAGTTCGACACCGGCTGAGCTATTTTGTCAAGTGGTATTTAATGGTTACTATTTTGATGTAAACTGACTTGAACATTAATTTGTCGTTTATTGCTGACTTGAGACTTAACTAATCAACAGTGAAATTGTTAAGCTTTTTAGTATTTAATAAAATTTTGTGATTTCTATAAAAGACACGTGTTTTTACTTTCCTTTATGTTAAACTCCATTTACTCCCTATAGTTCGACATTTCAATAGTTTGACATCCCTTAACTCCACAAAGTGTCAAACTATCAAGGTTCTACTGTATATGAATTTGAACGGATGGTGTTTTTGGCCTCTGGGGACCTCAAAAAAAAAAATAAATCGGTTCTGGGTCCAGGTCTTACCATGAGGTAATAGCTTATTTCTTGTATGGGAAATTTGCTAAAATTGTCCAGGCTTTCTCACTTTTTTCATGTAATATGTACGCAAATCCAAATTCAAATAGTAAATATTTAATTTCTACCATGTCAGTAAAATTTAATGTTTGTAGCAAGTAGCAAGCGTTGGCTTGAGTTGCCACAACTATCCAGCTGATCATAATGTAAACAAATATGTTCTTCATTAAGGATAACATGAGAACTTTAAAAGCCACTGGGGCAGAGCCCAAGGGACTTTTTCAAAAAAATTAAGGTCAGTTTGCAAATCTTCATGACACGCTCTTTCCAATAAGACGTGAAAGGTCAAAATTGGTTAAGAAAGTGCGGAGGAGTTCGAAGGACAAATTTTGTGTTGGCGTTTTAATTATATAGATTTTTGCCTAAACAAGATCAGTTGTCAATTTGTAATTTAAATGCGTTTGAATATATTAAAACAGAAGGAATATGGATCATAAAGAAAAACATAAATATTGATATATAAAAAAACCATAGATAATAATGAATGTTCCCTTTAAAAGGAAAGTACCAAAAAATGAATTAATTGATCCCATTACATTTGCAATTCAAAACAAAAGCTACTAAAACCATTTTAGGCTTACATATTTCCTACTTTATATTACTCCTCTCTTAGAAAAACAATTAGATGCATTTACTCTCGGTTGTAGTCTGTGGTAAGATATGACTTACCAACAATGCCAAATGCTGAGACATCTGGTCTAATAGCACCTCCAGCTCTACCTCGGTTTCCCATATCTATCATGTTGATAAGATCTCTTATCTCATCACGGGAATACTCAACTTTGTCATCTATCACCGATAATTCTTGTGGCTCCAATCTATCTATCTTCAACACTCTAAACTTGGTTTCAGAATTGTTTGATGCAATTACAAAAAGTCTCTGAAAAAACAAAGATAGAGTGTTAATATGGTGTCATGCGTTTAAAACATAGTAGGCCTAGTCTTAATAGAGAATCTACTAAGCCTAAACATATAACTTAAAAGCAAAGGCGCTGGAGATCATTACTAATCCCATTATCGGCTGTATAAGTTTAATAGAACTGGAAACCAAGAAGCCCATTAACTACTTTAACTTACAAATTAATTTGAAGATGCTTAGTATAAACCAGTGCACACCAGCCTTCAACAGTCTGCGTGAACACAATGAGTGAGAGCAACAAAGACAAGCAACCAAAAACAACACAACTTAAACATAGACGGAAGGAAACCTGTTACTCAATGCCTTTTTGAAACTAATAAATAGTAAATATGGTTGAGTTTCAGTAACAAAAAAGTGTCTACAAGTTAATTTATGTTAAGCTATCATTAATTAGGTTGGTTTCACCATGGACAAAAAGTATTAAACATAGACTGACAGCAGTGCTGCTGGCCACCACTAGGAATGCTGTGTAGTTACGGCGCACACCGCTGCAGCGTCTGCAGGTAGCATTCAGCGAGGAGCCGACGATAGCAGCGAATTGAATACTGAGCACACTCTAGCAGCACATTGCAGAACCTTTCTGTCAGTCTATATTTATTCTATTTGTCTATGGTCTCACTGATTAAGTTCCCACTTCATATTCTTACTATTGCACATTGGACTAATTAATTGTAATAATGATTGTCTGTTGACCCATAACAATAACAGAAAATCAATATATGGAGTGATATTTTTTTTAAGCGATATTTATATAGAATGAAAATTTCATCCGATAATATATCGGTATGTTCTATGTTCTATTAAACAGCCAGAATAAGATGGATCAGGAAATACAAGCTAGATTGAATGGAGCTGATAGATGCTATTGGAGCTTATCAAAACTTTTGAAAAGCAGACTCCTGTCAAGAAACACCAAGGTTCGAATATATCTGGCAATAATCCAACCTGTTCTTCTCTACGGTTCGGAAGTATGGACCCTCACAAAGAACATAGAGAGAAAATTAATAACTTTTGAGAATAAAATACTGAGGAGAATATACGGACCAACTTTGGAAGATGGGGCGTGGAGGATTAGAAAGAATAAAGAGTTAAGGGACCTTTATAAAAGACCTGATATTGTAGCTTTAATTAGAAGTAGGAGAGTCAGATGGCTTGGGCATGTTAGAAGAAGAGAAGAAGGCAGCAGTATAAGAAGAGTGTGGAGGGGAAAGCCTGAAGGAAGACGCCCACTGGGGAGACCGAGATTTAGATGGGATGACCAGGTTGCTGAAGACATCGGAAGACTGGGCGCAGAGTTGGACGAGGCAGAAGATAGAGAAAGATGGAGGCACCTTGTTGGCGAGGCCAAAAATCTCCTTGGATTTGTGTGGCCACAGGAGTAAGTAAGTAAGTAAGTATGTTCTATGTGAAACTGTACCAGTACTCTTCAAATTTTCCAATACAACCATTAGGGCCATTTCTTTACCCAGCTCTTGTTTAGTCCCTGTTTTGATAATTTAGAGTGTGGAGGATGATACTGTCACCACAACAGCTTCTTAGGTTATTTTTCTAAAATATGCAGAGTGAGACCTTGCAACTTATGTTATTGAGTTAAAACACTTACACGTCACAAATTGTAACAGGCAAGAAAAAAATACACAGTACCTAGCCTTGTTTGTATCTTAATCGATAGGAGAATGATTAAAAGATAGGCAAATTGTGGCCAGAGGGGATTAGAAGGAATGGCTGCCGATGTCTCAGAGTTACTGTAACTGCAGAAAAGTTAACTTTTTGACGTTGACCAACACCAGGCAGGAATTCAAATTTTAGTTGCAAGCCTCTTAACTTAAGTTAACAACTGATAGCTACATTAGGCCTAGTAATGAACCGTAAACAGTTGCAGTCATTGGTATGTTTGCCAATTCGGTTTCTAAAATGTGGATACAGTTCCGCAGAGAACCTACGATATTTTACCCTACATTATCGGGTGAAATTAGATTTTGATCTAATCACATCGGATGTTGTTTTCATGCAATATAAAATTCAATTTATGTATTGAATAAGCTTATGCATATTTTAAGCCATAGGGACTTTTCAAGAAGACTCTTTCATAATGTGCTGTGACAGTAAAGTTATGTTAGTTTAGATCAGTGTAGCTTAGTTTAATTTACGAAAGTAACAATAGTTTAAAAGTTGATACGCCTACCTGTTGTTTATTCAAAGAAACACACCTCCAATTAGTGATTTGTGTGTGTACTATTTAACCCTCTAATGGCGCTGGTTGATTTTCGACTACTAAAACGCGAGTTCTCAGTGGCGCTGGTCAATTTTCGACCAAGAAGACATGGGTCAGGTTTTTCTATTATTAAAATATAAAAAACCTTTTTAAAACCCAATTAATCTACCATTAGAAAGAAGAGATTCCGAGGATTCATTTTCATGCAAAAAACATTATTGAGTATCATGTGGTGGAAAGTTTTGGTCACCTGACTACAAAAACAGCTGTTTTAGGCGATTGTCAATTAAATTGTAAACAATATTATAGGTTGGCCGCTTAGAAAGCGACTTCTTCGTAGCATTGGTGCAAGAGAGAAATACCGAGCTGTGGGAGTGAGACGGACTATGGCTCTATCCACACTCGGCTGCCGCCCGCGCCCCTCCCGTCGGTCGTTTTCACACTGAACGAACACGACAATTGTACGTCACCAACACCGCTACGCCCCAATGTCGTGGGAGTTGAATCCTGTGTTACCAAATGGAACTGCTTACACACACACCTACACCTCTCTGGTGTGCCCCACCGGGGCCTAAGAAGATTAACATTAATGTTTTATCCTCCTAGGCTGGGGGCCACATTGTTTCTAAATACGGCCCTATCATAAATATCGCCTTCACACAGTCCGTGAGGACTATTGATGCAACCTGCATGACTGATGACAATTCTTTAACTTAGGTTGGTAGAGAATTTATATCGATCGGCCAAGTAATAGTGTCAGTTAAGCTGTTGTAAACTACTTGTCCTCTTAGTGCTCGTACTGGGTTTAACAAATCTTTGTAATAAAAAATTTATAGTAATTTTCATATAAATATTGTTATGATAGGGGCCCGTGTGGCTGAGCCTGTCACAATTGGCCCGTGTCGTGTGTACGTTGACGTTGACGAGCGCCCTAGCGGTACGCATCATATTGCCACTGCACTGCCACTATTCTGGCTCGGACTCGGCACTACTGATCAGAGGGATTAGGGGCGCATGCGTGGTAGACATTGTTACCACCCTCACTTCACAAAATAAAAGTTATTAACTAATAAAAATATATAATACGTTGTGTTAAATATCAAAACAACGATGAATTTACCTTTAAAATTTACAAAAAATATTAATTTCAGTTTGCATTAGATTTTAGAAAAATTCAATACCCTCCAAAGCTCCATCAATGCTGTAATTTTCTCCTCAGACCTTAGGATCGGTATGGTTGGCCGGTATATTGCTCTGTTTTGCTTTGGAAATATAACCTAGATCATTGAATAGTCAAGGCCTAGATGCAGTACAACCATAGATTAAATATAACTCACTCAAGTTGACATCTTATGACATTGTTAATTCAAAATTTGTCAATGTCTAGTTTATGTTGGTGACACTTGACGTTAGTTATCACGTAATTTTGTTTCTATTATTTTAGGGTTAGTTCTATGATGTGGGTTTTAATTTCTTTTAATATAAACAGGAGACGACCTATTTTTAATGATTAGATTGTTTTATTTTGGATAAAATAGGTTTAAATATAGATAAAACGTAGGTACTCCTTAAATAAAAAGAATTGTTTTCAGCTAGGCTAATCCAAAACGATGACAAATCTACTAAAGGAGTAAGTTTAATCTATGGTATCACGTACTGTATGGAGTTCATGATTTTGACCCTGAATTGGAATCAATGGCCATGTTTTTTTTGCATGAATGCTCGGTGAGTTGAGTTGTTTTGTTTCAGTCCCACGGCCACAAACCTGAGCATTTAGTAAAGGCATAAATTTGCTAAAAGTGTTTAAGACAGCATTTTGTTAATGCTAAACAAGTCAATTCTTTAAAAAACTTGCAATGCAACGATTCCGCCGAAGAGTGGTATTCAAGCAATTAACTTAAGCCTATGGTCGTGATATAGCTTTAAATAAAGGTTTGAAGGAAATTAACTGTGACCAGATTGGGGGGGGGGAAATTGTTTTGGGCCTAGGGGCGCAAAAATTCTAAATCCGGCCCTGGGCCTCCCTGCACAGCGGGCCCGTTATCGCCGCCGCTGAACTTCACTTCTAACAGCCAAATACAGGAAGACAATTATGAACAAAACGCTAAATTCCTCGGAATCACACTGGACAACTGACTAACATGGCACAACCATATTGAAAGTCTGGACAATAAACTATCCCAAGTTGTATATGCCCTAAGGAGAATCAGGAAAATCACAAACAAAGAGATCTGCAAAACGGCATTACCACGCTCTCTTCTCCTCATACATTAGATATGGCACAATTGCATGGGGCTCTGCCAATGAAACCGACCAGAAAAAAATACTAGTTCAACAGAAAAAAGCCATAAGAATCCTGGAACAAGATGATCAAGAAGAGCATTGTAAACTTCTCTTTGTCAAAAACCAGATCCTCACCTTAACATCCTTATATAGCCTATTTACGAAACCATCATCTTTATCAAAATCAAACCCACCTCAACTCAGAGTATTTAAACTGTCATGGTCGCAACCCCAGAGTAAAATCAAACTTTAATCTAAACCAACATAGGCTCAAAAACCAGAAAAACACCGAATTACATGTGAATAAAATTATACAACATCTTAAGGTCACACATGGCAAGTTTACTCGCTGCTACTTTAGTCGCCGCTTGTACTCGCAGGCTTGAAAAACACTTCCAGTCACACATGGCGAGTTGTAGCGACTACTTCAGTTTGGTTGTGTAGGAAATTACTGTGCTGAGGAAAATGTCATCTTCGGTACCTATTAAAAAGGGAGGCTTTAAGACGTCTGTTGCGGATTTGCGTTTGTGATCTGTGCAAAAATCAAGAAGAAGAATAAATGCAAGTGGGTTCGGGAGTGGATAGGGACACAAGAGGGTGCTTCGTCAATACCAATGAAAGAATTAGCAAATGAAGGCCTCAATCATATTTTAAAATAATGAAGATAAGTTAACCGTTCCAAAATTTTATGAGTTGTTGGATATGGTAACTTATCATCACTAATATATGAAATAATATACATTTTTGGAGTAAGGCAATTTCATGCAGAAAACAACTGGAAATAGCTTAAAGATAAATGGCAAGTGGGGACAGCGTCGATTTCAAGGTCGGCTAGGCCTACTAGCAACTAATCACCTCAAAAGTTGAACATGTCCAACTTTCCTAGCGAGTGAATATTCACTCACAGGCGAGTGCTAGTCGCCGCTACTTACTATGTCACATACAGCGACTAGTAACCGCTTCTCTAGTCGCTGCGTGACAGAGCCTTAGGCCTACCTAACAAACTTTAAGATAAAAACTCGCTCTCTATCTTTAAAAAACAGCTGAAACAATACCTCATAAATCGACCATACTACAAAATTATAGAATATCAGGAAGAATATACATTTCCTATAAAATAACACTCACGGAAAGTAAATAAAAGAAACGTCTTATAACACTTGCTCATACTGTTACTCACAAGACGGTAAATATACCAAACAGATGGTAAGTGGTGATCGATTTTGATTGGACACTCCAATCATCATCAGACCCAATAGGCGAAATCTTCTAGAAATCTTGTAAATTTCGCCTAATGCGTCTGATGATGATTGGAGTGTCCAATCGAAATCGATCACCACTTACCATCTGTTTGGTATATTTACCGTCTTGTGAGTAACAGTATAAGCGTAAATATATGTTTTAAGTATTATAAGACGTTTCTTTTATTAACTTTCCGTAAATTTAATAACACGTACAATGCTGATCAAGAAGCTATTTAATAACACTCAAACAAACACAAATCATACATTGACCCACACTACAACACTAGGCCTACACACAATCAAGAAAGAAGAAAGATGAAAAAGAATTGACAATTCCCCGGTCTTCAAGGACTGCGGTGAAGACTTCAATGGTAAAGGATAGGACAGAGGCAAAACTGGAAAAATATCCACACTGCAAAAAGTAAAGTAGGCCTAGGCCTATGTTAGTTTTTATATAATTAGGTTACCTAACCTCATACTTACAGATTTAGTTTCGTAGAGAGCTATTTTTTGTATGGAACTAATAATGGGGTGCATTACTACATCCATGCTGGAGAAATAATTTGATTACTGGCATGAAGGTCGTGATAGTCGTCCGTCAGGCTTTCAGAACAAAGATGTCTTTGATTGAATGAAAATATAGCAATGATAACATTGATAATGATAACGGCGTCTGCTGTTTTTGTTGTTTGTTTTCGCTTTCCTCTCCTTGAAAAGTTTCCATTCCATCATTCCATGCCATGCCATTGTTTTGCATCGACTCCCGTGAGCCTGTCCAGGACGCGAGTCCAGTTAACGGAAGGCTCAGAGGACGCTCCATGACGCACAATTCTATTGGCTCTCATAGCGTGACGTCAGTCTCTTCTCACTTATGGAATTTGAATAAAGAACGACCATCGGTTTATGATCCTGTTAAAATGGGTTGCTCGTAAATAAATAAATAAACTTATATTGCAATCATAATGTTGACGTTGACATGACATCCTTATATATAATACGTGAAGGCGATTTCTACAAAACACTACTCCTCCGTTAATAATGGACGGATTTTTACAAACGACGTGTCAAAATAAAGTGTTTTTTGTGTAGACGCCCCCTTTCAACAATTCCTGTAATAAAAGTCCTCGAGCTTTGCCCCACAGGCCATCAAAGTTGGGGTTTCTCCCATAAGATTAAAATATGGGGGAATCTAAATATTTAATTGGAAACTTTGTCCCCAACTAATTTGAGAAAACGGCTGGGCGTAGAAACTTGGTAGAGGTGTATAAAAAGGTCTTGGTCTGTAGATGAGTTATCAAGAGAAAAACTAAGTAAAATCCTTAGGACTCTGCCCCCCAGAAGCCTTTAAAGATGCTTCCACAGAGTTGTTTACATTTTGGTCATGTGAATAATACTTTTTAATAAAACAGCTGTTCATTTTTTTAAATTGTATTTCAAACAACACATATTTATTGGGAGTTACTGAATTGTACCAAATAAGTATTTGCAATGTTATTTTCTGATTTTAAAATTAACATAGTGTCTAATAAAATCCAAACATAGAAACATTGCCTAAAATGGCACCTATGTTGAAAACTTTTTGCACCTGCCTATATTATGGACTTTGGCGCACTGGGTTGATAACATTATTGAAATTATTACGACATTTTGGCTGTAAAATATGGTACAAAGACTATTTAAGCAGCTACTGGCATGATAGAACGGTCATATTCCTTTTAAACTAGATCACATAATCCTTTATAGGATACGTTGATTAACAATATGTAAACGTCAATATATACGTAACAGTCAATTTACAGTATTTTTGTTTTTTGGAAATGTCCCATTGCTATGTCATTTGCATTATTTGTTGCCAATGAAGCCACCAAGACCATATGAACAAGGAGGCCCCTAACAGTTAAAGAATAAAAGCCAACTTCACTTCAAGTATTCCACTACACCAAACATTCCGTAGAGAAATTATATTGACAAGACAAGACAACTTGTGACGTACTTTTCCACACTGAAACATATAACACTAGTTTACATGCCAGGTTTAAGTACCACGTGCTATACAGCACATTTAGTTTCCGGATAGGCCTCAGTACGGAGATTTGGGTTGGCCTTCCAGGGTTCGCGACAAGATGTTTCTTTCACGCTCAGCCGTGCCGTCGCCTTGCCAAGCCAGGACCTAGTAACTGGTTTACACCTGAACTTGCAAACATGAGAGAATATATCATTTACCTTTATGACATATGGAAGACTAATGGTAATGTTAATGACAAAATGAACTTTAAAAATGCCAAGAAAGTTTACACAAAAGCTATGAATGAGGCAAGAATTTCTGCAAACAACAAACTAATTAATAAATCAACAAACAAATGCAAAGCGGCCTGGAAGATAGTGAGAAGTGAATCAGGGCAGAGCAAAGTACCGACTGAAATATGTCTTTCGCCTGACACCTTTAATGATTTTTTTGTTAATGTACCAACAAGTATGACTCACAATCAGAACTCAAATTTACCAGACTATTATAAACTACTTAGTAATTTAAAGTTTACCACCAACTCAAACAAATTCTCATTAAAAAAAGTTGATATGAAAACTGTGAAGTCAATAGTAACTAGTCTAAGCTCCTCTCGCAGCGAAGATTGTTTTGGACTGTCGAACTACCTATTGAAGAATATTATAGACCCTATTCTAGTACATCTCACCTACATTGTCAACCTAGTATTAGTTACAGGTGTTTTCCCAAATTGTTTGAAGCAATCAATAATTAGCCCTATTTTTAAGAAAGGTAGCAGAGATTTACCAGAGAACTACAGACCAATTGCTATTGTCCCCATTATAAGTAAGATAATCGAAACTTGTTTATTTAGGCAAATGTATGATTATTTTACAAGTAACAATTTGCTTAGTACTAACCAATTTGGTTTCATGCCTAATTCTTCAACTACCAAGGCTGTAGAGAGCATTGTAGATTATATCCTCAATGGTTTTGAAAACAATTTTGCCACAGGCTGTAGTATGTTAGATCTAAGTAAAGCTTTTGATATGGTTTCACATGTTATTCTTTGCAGGAAATTGGAGTATTATGGTATTAGAGATAAGGAACTAGCTTTAATTAGAAGTTACCTTAGCAATAGATCTCAAGTAGTTAAAGTCAATAATGTTTTTTCTCAACCAAAGTCAGTATTAGCAGGTGTTCCACAAGGCTCGGTCCTTGGGCCATTCTTATTCTTAGTTTTTATCAATGATTTTGCTGTAAATGTTCCATGTTTTTCTGTTTTATATGCTGACGACACAACTATTCTTGAAAAAGGTGTAAATATCCATAATGTTTTAAAGCAGCTTAGTTCCTCAAAAGATTGCTGCAAAGTTTGGTATGGTGCAAACTACCTACTCCTGAATGAAAATAAAACTGAAAACATTCTCTTCACACTCAAAAATAGTATTAGTCATGAATATGAAGATCTTTTAAAACCTGTTAAGCTGTTAGGAATTGTGTTAGACAGCAAGTTAACCTGGAGTAGCCATATTGACCTTTTATGTAAAAAACTTGCTAGAGCTACTTGTTTAGTGAGGAAACTCAAACAGTGTGTCAGTTCTGAGGTATTATTAATGGTCTACTATGGTGTTTTCAATTCTCATTTGAACTATGGCCTGCGCTTATGGGGAAACAGCGCTGATGCAAAAAGAGTATTCATATGGCAAAAGAAAGTCATTCGTTGCATAGTAGGCTTAGAAAACAATCAAGAACATTGTACAGATAGTTTTATTAGTCTTAAAATAATGACGTTACCATGTATGTATATTTTTTGTAATCTGGTTTATGTTAAGGAAAATATAGTTAATTTTAGTGAACAATGTAATCAACATGAACACAGCACGAGAAACAAACATAATCTTGTAACACCTTACATTCGCCTACACAAATCATTTAGAAGTCACAGTTACCAGCAATTTTTGTTATTTAACAAGTTACCATTAGTTGTAAGAAATCTACCTCTTGTAAAATTCAAAGAAACTATTTCAAACTGGCTAAAGCAAAAAGCATTTTATAGCATTGAAGAATACCTTAAATGTACATTTCAGACTTAGACTAGAAACTTAAGATTTTTTGTACTAAAACTATTTGACGAAGCCTATTGTACGCTAATGTATTCCTGTACATTGTATTTAATGGCCAATAAACTTCTTGATTCTTGATTCTTGGCTGAGGTTTATCGCGTCGGAGATCTCGAGCATCTGGTTCATCACACAGATGTCGCCGTAGTCCGGATTAATCCTCACGGACCGGTCACTGCCCCTTCCACCGCAGTGAGACGTGGTGGCCTTCCATGGAAGCTAGTCGCCACCCCCGAAATCGTCTTCGTGTTCAGCACACGACATCCAGCCAGACACTTGGGTTCTGCACACCAAGTATGGGTTGACTCCGTCTGCCGTTGTAGCCTGGGGTCCACTGTCACCCTCCTGTCGTCACAGCCGCAGGCTGAGGCTCATTCCGCCCCCCCACTCGTCGTAGTAGGTTGGGGCTCATCCGGCCTCACCTGGCCGTCGTTGCAGGCTGGGTCTGTTGTGACCACCATCGATGCTACCGCAGACTCGGGTCATATTTCCCATCCGTCGCCGCTGTCGTCTGGGCATCTAGTTTCTCACACAGATCCCTGTCGGTGCTGTCGTATGGGAATCCGGCTCATCGCACGGACCCCTGTCGCTGTTGTCGTATTGGTATCCTGCTCGTTGCAGGAATACCTTTCGTTGCCGTCGTTTGTTCGGGCGCCATAATTGTGACGTACTACGTGGGGCATTGGTCCCCTGCCCGTTGCTCGTGCTTGTCGTGGTATGGGAATCCGGCTCACCGCACGGACCCCTGTCACTGTCGTCGTCGCATGAGTGTCCTGCTCGTTGCGGGGACACTTCGTCGATGTTGTCGTATCGTGGGGATCCGGCTCATCGCACGGACCCCTGTCGTTGTCGTCGTCGTATGGGAATCCGGCTCACCGCACGGACCCCTGTCGTTCTCGTCGTCATATGGGAATCCGGCTCACCGCACGGACCCCTGTCGTTGTCGTCGTCGTATGGGAATCCGGCTCACCGCACGGACCCCTGTCACTGCCCCTTCCACCGCAGTGAGACGTGATGACCTTCCATTGTCGTTAGTCGTCATCCCCGAATCGTCTACATGTCTACGCATGTAGCCCCAGGAGAATCTGGTTCAACACACAGATCCCAGCGTTTAGCGGTACCTGGGGAGCTCCGCCTGCTGCTGTAGTCGGGGTTCGGATCGCCCACCTAACGTTGCAGCTACTACGCCTTCACTGCAGGCTGGGCGTCCATCGTGGCCCCAATCGAGACTACAGCCGGTAGTCCTGGGTCCCGTCGGTCTCCGCCTCCGTCCTGGGTGTCTGTCTGGTTCTGCACACAGACTCGAGATGTCGCGGTACCTTGAACTTAGCCGACTCAACCCGCCACTGTAGCATAGGGTTCGAGCTCACCCGTCGACCACGGCTACAGACTGAGGTGCGTTCCACCCCCCCACTCGTCGTCGTAGGCTGGGGCTCTGCCGTCCTCACCTGGTCTTCGCCACGGCCTGGGTTTTCCAGCCCGCGCGCCCTATATCGGTACTACAGCCGGGGAGTCTACTCGTACGTTTTCGTCGCTGACGTCCTGAGTGT